TTTTGGGATTTTAAGGATGATTAAAGTTGTCAATGGTCTGGAGAAGCCCCGGTGCCTTCCCCAGACCATGCACATTTTTACATATCCTTAAAACCCTGAAATTCTTAAAGTTGTAAATGGCTGTCCTTTTAAAGTTTCAGGATTTTTCGATGTTCAATTCTAAAGTCCGTAAATTCCTTCATGTTAAACGGCTACCCTTTTAACATTTCAAAGTCTTTTAGATTTTTTAATTTAAAAGGGCAGCCATTTAGAATTTTAAGGCGTTTCAGGTCTTTACGGGTTTTAAAGCCTTCTAAAATCCTTTAAACACTGAAAATTTTGATTGGCTTAAACGACCTTAAAGCCCTTATAAAATTTTAAAGGGCTGCCCGTTCAAAAAGCTAAGGATTTTAAGGGCTTTTAAAATTTGAGATTGTCTGGGGAAGCCCCGGTGCCTTCCGCAGATCATCTGAATTTTTTGAAACCCTTAAAACCCTGAAAAGCCTTAAAATTCTAAGTGGCTGCCCTGTAAAAATTTTATGGAGCCACGTTTCAGAAGCAAAATGCACATAAACACACGACTGTTTTTGTATGGGATAGTAGAAAATAGCCTTTTGTATCATAGTACAGTTTTTACTGCATTTTTCCGAGGAAAAAACAGAAATTCGGCAAAACCAGAGGTGTGGATCATGGGGGGGGGGGGGTGACCATATATACACATACACATCGAAAAAGAAAAAGGAGGCCACACGGCGAACCTGAAAGCAACCGATTGTTTCAGGTTTAAGGACTGTGGCTTTAAGGTTAGAGGGGGCCCCCTTGGCCCCTATTGGTTGCACTTGAGATTTCGTTGTAACTCCAGTTCCCCAACCAAAAATCCCCATCAACTGCCCATAAACCTCCAAGTAGGCATTCTGCGGGGTTCCTCTAAACCCTAAACCTCAAGCCCCTGCAAAGCGAAGATTGAAACTCCTCGAAACTTTCCCCGAACCCTAAGCCCGAATCCCGAAACCCTAAACCCCTTTCCGAGGCAGGGGGCTGTCATGGCCGAGGCCAGACAGCGGGAGACTCCTTGGGTTGGCGTTGGATGTGGGATGGTGGACCCGGGAGCCCTGAAGCCCAACACCCCCGCAAACCCTTCGGGTGTTTCGGGTTTAGGGTTTAGGGTTTAGGGTTTAGGGTTGAGGGTTTAGTAAAGCCTAAGACCTTGACACCTGGACTCTAGACCCAAAACGTAGGCTGGGCCATCGAGGTACTGGTGACAAGCTCATTCGGGACCACTTACAGCCCTACGGATCACTATGCACATGAGCCTTCAAGTAGTAGCTGACAGGCCCGGGTGGTTTGGAGTTTGCCACGCTGCCTTAATGCCCATGCAGCGCAAATCGGACATCTTGACACGACTCTATAGCAAAACAATCAACACATTCTGTTCCCTTAATACATCTGAAACCTTGAACCATGAACTACGAAGCCTTGCACCCCTAAGCCGGCTTAGTCCAAAATGCCGATGACAGACGTCGTTGCGGCGTTGCACCTCCAGCACCCTGACCCTGCAACCGGCGAAAAGAGAGTCGAATCATCATCTTTTTTGCGGGGTCAGGTTGTCGTAGCTGCGGAAGATTAAGGAATTTCCCGCAAGTCAATCATAAAACGTCAATAGCTGGAGGGCTATAGATTCCTTTCGCCAGGGGCGTTTGGGGCACCCTTCTGCAGACCTGACGAGGATGGAAGCATCTATGGGCTGCCCAACCGCGCCAAGACGGTGCTCCAGATCTGTCCCGAGTGAAAGGTGAAGCGTTCGTGGGCGGGCCAGGGTTGTGGGGCACTTTCACACGAGCCCCGCGAATTCTTATACATGCAATGTATATGTATATTCGTTTATATATATATATACACATTCTTTTTTTATACTCGTATTTGTACTTGTAATATATGTATATAAATTGATATATTTGTTGTACATAGTAGACCTAGACACGTACTAGCTCACCTACTCCCTAAACCCTGATTCGAACGATCTACGTTGGAGACATCAGGGGCCCATGATGTCAGAAGCTCGCTGAGCCAGAGCCTTTCGTGCACTTGAAGAGATCTGCTTCTCCTGAACTCACACCAGAATGAAGCCAAAGACATGGGGCATAAACATACCTTGACTCCCCGCAGCAGCACCGTGGCATCCTTTGCTGCAATCGCCTCTTTTTGTGATGCATCCCCAAGCCATTCTCCGAGGGAGGCTTCGTGCTGTGACGGAATGGGCGAGGGTTTGACAACCGAAGCTGCCCCATGAGGAGTGTTGCCACAGAGTCGCCACGCTTGCCGGGGTCACTAGCGGGCTCATTTCGAGGGGGGCAGTGTCCAGTCCGAATTTGTCGCGGCGTAATGTAGGGGTCGGAATGGTTACTAACAGTATCCCCTTATGGCCCCTATATATCCTGCCCTACGAACCCCTAGACCCCCATGCTAATTCTAAAGGCTCCGAAGCCTTGTATGCATCATGCCGTGTCCGCAGTTTACTAGTTCTTGCCATCGGCGGGTCCAGTTTGGGGTAGTGACGCCTCTGGCCAAAGCCGGCATGTGCGAGCAAGGACCGACCCGTTGTTACACTGCGGATTCGCCGAAGTCGTAGGGTTTAGGGTTTAGGGTTTAGGGTTTAGGGTTTAGGGTTTAGGGTTTAGGGTTTAGGGTTTAGGGTTTAGGGTTTAGGGTTTAGGGCTTAACCCCGAACCCCGGAATCGAGTGTCGTGTTGCGCCTCTCCGAGCTTGTGCAGGATGCGCTTGCAACCTCGCGGCCAAGGTCAACACAGGCATAGGGTGCGTGCGGCTTGGCCCTGATTGTCCATGAGCCTCACTCGAGGGCTTCTAGGGTTTTTGAACGTTAAAAAACTCCAAATACTCAGAGGTTCAGGGTTTCGGGGAGTTTCGGGTCGGGTTTAGGGTTTAAGGTGACGGCCTCAGGTAGTTGATGCGTTAGTTTAATTACGGTCCAGAGCGCTAGGAGTGGCTAATTGGCAGAGTCTGTAGCACATGTCGGCAGAAGACTGTGAGTGGAAGGTTCTGTTTCGGGTTCCCTAAAGCCGAAGCTCGCAACCCTAAACCTAAATCCTTCCCACCTTCCCTAAGCTGCCAACACCCTCCAAGCAGATGCCTTACATGTGGGATTACGACTGTGTGCTAGAGCCCAAAAACGCCCAAATCCAGTGACGCCACCTACTGCAACCTCAAGCCCGTACCAGGACCCATACCTCTTGGAACTGAGCTTAGCATATAGGGTTTAGGGTTTAGGGTTTAGGGTTTGGGGTTTGGGGTTTAGGGTTTGGGGTTTAGGGTTTAGGGTTTAGGGTTTAGGGAGTTTTTTGGGTTAAGAGAACCTGCCATGAAGGTTAGCAAGCATCATGGCTCCAGCAACTTCACCCCATCCGTAGAATGAGATGCCAACGAATCCCTGATCTAAATCCCAAACCCTCCCACACCCTAAACCCCCCTAAATCCCCCTGAACCCCCGAAACAACCCCCCCCGAACCCCCCGTAAACTCCCCCCTAAACCCTAAACACTAAACCCCACACCCTACACCCTGAACCGAAACCCTAAGCACTAGCCACCAGGGTCGTCGCCATCGGCCTCATCATCTACATCATCGGGCTTGTAACGGCGCGGATGGGGATTCGTAGGCTTCAGACTTTCTTTGCTACTTCTGCGTGCGTGCCACAAGGGTAGCTGGGTACTTGTTTCCCAGCCCCGTGCATGCCCCAACACTCTCGAATTGCTATGCCTGGACCAAAAGACGGGGCATCCAAATTTTCGAGAAGTTCCTATTTTTCTCTGTCTCTCTCCACGTTGTTAGGGTTCTTAAGATTCTTACATTTGGAGCCTGGGGTTCTTGACGGGAGTCACTGCGCAGGCCCAATCGATCGTTGACGACCGCATCTTGGTGGACGGGCAGAGGACTCTCTCCATGTAGGGTACCCGCTGGGAACCCCTGAATTTCAGCTTAGCCCAGAGCAGGCTGTGAAACTAAGAGAGAAAGCACCCTCGCGCGGTCCGCATAACAACAGCGATCCATCGGCATTCGCGCCGCGCATTCTGCACACGACTTCGCTATGTGTGCCGCGCTCTGCCTTACCACCTGGCATTCTTTACCGACCATACCACCAATCTATTCCAGGGCGTCAGCGTCCCAATCTCTAAACCCTCAACCCTGGGACCTCAAACCTAAACCCACGGAAACTCATATCCAGGAACTTTCAGCTGTCTGCGGACAGCGCGGGCCTCGCCAATGTGCTTGTTCTATCCTGGGATTTCGGGGTCTGCATGTGCCCTTACACGTACCCCTAAACCCTAAACCGTAAACCCTAAACCCTAAACCCTAAACCCTAAACCCTAAACCCTAAACCCTAAACCCTAAACCCTAAACCCTAAACCCTAAACCCTAAGCCCTAAACCACTTGTTGTTGTGGAGAGCGGTTGCGGGCTCCGAGGTTGGCAAGAGGGGTGGGGGGTTGGAGCCATGTGTTGCCAGTTTGGGGTTGGGCTTAGGTCTAGTGTGCGGAGCTTGGCCGAGATGGATGTAATGCTATATCAATGCTATATCCCTCTTGGGAATTCTTTTTAAATTCGTGTTTATATAAAAATAGCTTTTATTCAGGTTTTAGGGGGAGTATAGAATGTAGTCGTACAGTTTCAAGGGTGCAGGAAGATGGGCCTCGTGCTTCACCTTGAGCCCCAAGCACGAAGCCGCAAAGCGGGGCGATGGCTGGGGTCAGGCCAGTGTTCCGAAGTCCGTAGTCCACAGGGTCAGAGGGTGTGGTTTCTCGCTGCTCACCAAGACGTGTAGCGGTTGAACTGAACCCGAAACCCGAAAAGCCTAAACCCTAAACTCCAAACCCCAAACCCTAAACCGTAAACCCTAAATCCACCCGTACCAAGAGAGCCCCGACGTCCTGTAGCGGCAGCCCGGAGAGAAGACTGGGGGAAGGAACTAAAGGATTTACATAAAGCTGTGTTTCCTGCAACCTCCAGCCCTGGAAAGACCCTAAGGCCTTCACCCAAACCTGAGCCCATAACTAATATAGGGTCGGAATAATTGCTAATAGTATTCCCTTCTGGTCCCTCTATATTTATACTATAACAACCCCCCCCCCCCCAACAAAAAAAAACCTATACTAGTTGTCGGACCAAGTTGACGGAGGAAAAGTCCTAATTTTCCAGAAGCGCTCTTATCTGTGGCGGCCTAGCCTGAAACTTCAGAAAACCCCAGCCACACGCAAGTTTTACTCGAAAACATCTTATCAAGCAAAGATGTTTTTTTGGAATTTTCTCAAACCCAAAGCTAAAACAAAGCAAATCTTATTGCATCCTAAAGTCTAAGCCCTACATCCAAAATCTTAAATCCTAAATCCTGAACCCCAAGCCCTTAAAACCTATGCCCGACATCCTGACATCCCCTACGCAATGTCCAAGGCTGGAGCCTGACGTTCATGACGCAGACAGGCGCGAGGGCTTAGTCCTCTCCGCTGCTATCTTGGGGGTGTTGTTTCGGGGCATTTTGGGGTTTTCATTCAGAATGCATGACTATGAGGATTGTATAGTTGTTTACAGGCAGGGTTGTTTGGTCAGTTTCCAAAAATAAGGACCCCTTTTGGGGGCCACCTTATAATATGGTAACCCCAAGAGGGGGCATAATTTAGAGAAGTTCCCATACAAGTATTTCACAATGTCATACTCGGAGGTGCATGGGTACTTATACCCCCAAACTATAACTGTACTTATAACTCCCCTAAGTCCCCGACGTAGGCTATAAGTAGACTTCTGATTGGGGTTTTAAGCACCCATGAACCCTAAACCCTAAACCCTAAACCCTAAACCCTACACCCTAAACCCTAAACCCTAAACCCTAAACCCTAAGCCCTAGACCCTAGACCCTAGACCCTAAACTCCAAGTAGGGGCGCCAGCGTAGCCATGGGCCTGGGCTCTCTGGGCCAAAAACGGCCAGGAACGAACTGCCAAGACCACGTGGATTCTGCCCTCTGGCTGCCAAATGTGTGGGTTTAGGGTTTAGGGCTTAGGGTATAGGGTTTAGGGTTTTAGGGTTTAGGGTGCAGGGCAAAGGTCTGAGGTTTCGGGGTTGAAGTTGGGTTGATCTATTCAACCAGCAGCAGCAGGCGTCTGGTCCTCACGCAATGGCCGAAATCGGTAATCAGCGCTCGAGGGATTGGGGGTATCCTATTGGGGTCCTTATTCGAAAGGAATCTTACTACTTGGGGGTCTATATTATGAAAAGTCCCCTATTCTCGCAAACCCCCAGGTCTACAGGCATGATGCGGTTCAGCCCACTTGCATGTGAGATGGAAGAGTGCCCGAGGAACCCTTTTTCTTCAGGGGCACGAGGTTGCTTAAAGCTTTTTAGTCTGCTTGCTGGTTGCGTTAGTCGTGAAACAAGGTCCTCTCAAAGATACTTCTCACAATAGAAACCTCCCCCTCCCCGCGATTTGCCTTCGGATACTCGTTGTACTCATTACAGTGTGCCCATTCCTCCTTTCTGTTGCGTCTGCTCAAGGTTTTTTGTTGCTGTTGCTTGGAGTGTCGTGATTGTACGGCATCAGAGTCCCTTCACACGGTCCAAAGCCCTCACCCCGTTCAGTTGGACATCGTCCACAGCGACACTAACGAAGTTGAGACCTTGTCGTTCACCTGTTGGATGTCATCAGGCGCGGTGTTTGCCTGGGAGCTGTCAGGAACTTTGTGGCCAGCATACCTGGTGGTCCCAGAATGGAGCATGATGGGAATCAAAAAGGGCCTAGGTCGAGGTGTTTTTGCTCGTTTGAGGCGTTTTTGTGCTTTCAGCCGGATTATATCTGGGCATGAAGCCTGCGAGGAACCGCCATGGTCCATGGGGGTGTCAACCTCAAGACGATTGGCGAATTCTACCCAGAGAAGGACACTGGGTTTAGGGTAAACCCGACACCCTCAACCCTAAACCCTAAACCCTAAACCCTAAACCCTAAACCCTAAACCCTAAATCCTAAACCCTAAACCCTAGGGTTTGGGGGAACCTGCCTGAGCACCTCAGGCACAAGCCCTGTCGACCTGAACCAAGAAAAGATCATCCAGGAACCAAGCCCCGAGCTGCCTTGAACAACTGGTTTAGGGTTTAGGGTTTAGGGTTTAGGTGGGGATTTGCCTTTGAGAAATGGCACGGTGCGGTGTGAAAGGTGAACTACCAAGACAAACGATAGGATGCACGAAGGAATGCTTTAGGAAATGGGACGTCGAATTCTCAGGTGATAGGTTTCCTTTACAAATCTGGGGGGGGGGGGGGTCAAATGCAACCCTCCCCACCAAAACCCCACCCAAGCCGGCCAAAACACTACCCAACTCCCACCCAAAAACCCCCCCCCCCCCCCCCCCCCCCCCCCCCCCCCACTCCCCCCACTCCCCCCACTCCCCCCACTCCCCCCCCTCCCCCCAGCTCCCCGCTTTCCTAAACAACTAAACCCTCAAGCCCCGTAGATGCTTCGGAAACCTCTGGGAGGAGTATGGGACCTACCAAGTTAGCAGCGGCTACAACACGTGGGTCCGAACCTCAGTTTGGAGAGCCCTAACCCCTGAACCCCATTAAAAACATGGCTTGATTGCTTAGAACCCTGGAGGCTTAGGGTGCTTCCAGGTCTCAGGTCGCAAGATTTTGGCTGCTTGCCCGGCTGGAGCATCCTGAGCATCAGCTGGGAAGGCCTTGTGCGGGTTCGGGGGTATGCAGGCGAAGCCTGCTGGACCATCATGAGCATCAGCTGGGAAGGCTCTGATTTTGTTGGGCCTTTTTGGGGGATGCAGGTGCCCGGAGCATCACGGCCATTGGCTTCAAAGGCCATTCGAGGCGGGTTGGGGATGCAGGTGCCCAGTAGCATCACGGGCACCTCCCCAGAAGCCATGGGCATGGCTAGCTGGGAAGGTTTGGGGATGCAACCGCTGAGCTGTAGCATCATGGGCAACAGCTAGAAGGCCTTGGTTGTTTTGAGCCGCTTGGGGGGCGCGGCGCTGCCCGGCTGCAGCATGCTGCACATCAGCCGGGACAGCCTTGGGGCTTTGAGCCGGGTTACTTGGGTATGGGTGCAGGGTGTAGGTGTAGATTTCCTGCGTTTTGTCGGGAGTGGGAGGGGGTGGGCTATAGGCCGGGTCGGCGGCCACGCCCCAGCACCGCTGGGGTCGGATTTTGGGGATGTTTGGAAGGCAGACGTGGGCTTAGCACGGTAGTTAGGGTGTAGGGTGTAGGGTGTAGGGTTTAGGGTTTAAAAGTTTAGGGTTTAGGGTTTAGGGTTTAGGGTTTAGGGTTTAGCACAGTGGCGGGGCCAGACCTTCCCGGGTTTTAAGGGTATGGCTTCTGGCGGTTTTGAGGATATCAAGCTACAGGGTTTTGGATGCGGGGTGAGTTTAGGTGAGAATTCGGGGGTGTGATGTGCAGTGCCTTGGGAAATCATGAAACTCCGCACCCGTTGTTTCAAGCTTACCCCCCTCAACTAGAGCGGATCTTCTGATGCTGTTTAGCAACATCTTCAGCAACTTGCGCGCAGTTTTGTCAAGTGGAAGCTCCTTCATCCCAACATATTCTAGCAGCAGCCATCCGGGTTTTAGTGTGGAGGAGTTCGGTTTTTTAGGGTTTGGGGCTTCGCTGTCTTCGTGTTCCAAGAATCTCGGCTCAGGTCCTCGACAACATGGTGACAAGTGATCAGGCCGGTGTGGGGTTGAGATCTTGGTGACGGAGAAATCCCCCCAAGACAAAGCGACTACACCTGCACACGGTCGAAGACGTCATCCCTCTCTCTCTCTCTCTGTACAATAGTGTTGAAATCTGCACATATAGTCTAACCCAAGTATATATATATATACATTATATATATATATATATATACATATGTATATATATATATATCCACATATGCATGGTAATCTACGTGTATACATACATAGGAGTTCACCCGTCCTCCCGGTCACGAAGCCGCGCGCAGTTTGGAGCCTTCATGGGCGGCGCGCTGATGGGCATGATCGGCTTCGTGACCATGCTCCCTGGAAAAACCCTTGAACCCTTTAGGGTTTAGGGGGGTTTAGGGTTTAGGGTTTAGGGTTAAGGGTCTGAGTCCCCCAAAATTGATAGAGCCGTAGCTCGGGCTCCGTGCTCTCTTGTGTCTCCCTACCTGCTCCACCCCAAAACCCTCAACCCTAAACCCCAAGCCCTAAGCCCCAAACCCTCAGCCCTAAACCCTTAGCCCTAGCCCTAAACCCTAAACCCTCAAGGAGCTCAAGAGCTGACAGGCTAAACCTTGCAAGGGGAGTCTTGACCCCTGTCTGAGTCTGAGCAGCTTCTCCAGGGACTGCAGCCTGGCTCCCACATCTCCTGAATCTCCGAATTCTACACATAACTTTCCCTAAAACCCAGACCTAAGCCCCAAACCCTAAACCCTAAGCCCCACACCCTCAACCAAAAAACCCTGATCCCTGAGCCCTGAACCCTGAACTCCGTTCAGGGTTTCGGGCCCAGGCGTTTTAGGCGCGGGATTCACGCTCAAGAAGCCTCTCTCGGCCTCTAGGCTGGTTGGATCCATCTTCTGGTGTGTGGCCTGCTGCTGCTGCTGCCAAGCAGGTGAGGGGGTGGGTGGGGGTTTTAGGGTTTTGGGTTTTGGGTTTAGGGTTTAGGGTTTTGGGGCTTTCAGGGTCGACGTTTCTCAAACGGTCACTGTCAGCCTACATCCAGATCCTTCAAGCCCTAGACCCTAAACCCTAAGCCCTAGACCCTAAACCCTAAACCCTAAACTAAAAAAAACCGAAACCCTAAACCCTAAACCCTCACAGGCCAGCAAGCAGCCGCAGCTGCCGCCACCGCGCCTGTTGGGGGGCCTTCCCCGACCTATTATGGCCAGCAGCCCTATGGCCAGCAGCCGCCCCCAACCTACCAGGGAGCTCCTTGCTTTAAGGTAGTTGTTCTTGGTTTAGGGTTTAGGGTTTAGGGTTTAGGGTTTAGGGTTTAGGGCTTAGGGCTTAGGGCTTAGGGCTTAGGGCTTAGGGTTTATATAGGGTTTAGGGTGGATGGGAGGGGTCGACTCTTGGTTCGAAAGTTGTGAGCCATGAGGCTTACGATCTCGGAGCTGAGGGTGTTCGGTTGAACGACATGGGGTTTCGATGAAGTCAATACTCCTCATCAGGGTTCGTGAGAACAACCCTCTGTGGCTGCCTCAATCTTGAGACCCACAATCCTCAACGCTAAGCCGACTATAAACGTCAAGCCTTCAAGCCTCGAGCAGCGACTTCTTCAACTCCGGCGAAGGTGAGGGTTAGGAACCGACCCGCATCCCCATTGACTCATTTCTAGCGGCCCTATGCCGAGACCCTGCGGGTCTTCAAGAAAGGTCCCCTTAGGACTTGCTTTTGAGCCTTGGCCCCGGAATTTTTGAGTTGGAGACGCGGAGGGTTGCCTCCAAAAAAAGGACCACCTGATACGTCCCGTGTGCCATAGGCTGACTTTGTACCACCCCCCCCCCCAACAAAAAAAAAAACAAACAAACACAACTCGATGGAATAATCTTCGACGCACGACCATCCTTCACCACTGGCACTCACTCCTCTGCAGTTCCCGGTGCCCAGGGTGTGTCGAACCAGGGGCAGGTGGTCGTGGTTGGCCAGCCGCTGCAAGCACAAGGACAGCGGCTTGCCTCTACCATATGCTACCGAGGTGTGGCTAAGCTAGGTACACTACACCAGATCAGGGTTTTAAGGGGTTCATCCGCAATCCTGAGAAGGATCCGCCTGACTCCATACTTGAGCCGGATGCTGAACTCTCTAGGCACCCCATGTCTAGAAAACCCCTCGGCACAAGCGAGGCTGTTAAAAACCAAGTATTTGTGGTCTGTGCTGCAGGGACGCAGAATGTGTTGTTTTCTTGTTGGTGCGGTCGAACTTCCACCTCATGGCAACTCTGGGAGCTCGAGGTGCAGCTGATTGGCTCAGATGGGCTTGAAGGTTCCCTAAACCCTGAAACCGTAAAGCCAAAGCCCCAAAACCCTGAACCCTGAACCCTAAACCCTAAACCCTAAACCCTAAACCCTAAACCCTAAGCCCTTTAGGGATGAGGCTGTAATTCACTCGACAACTGCCGCCCCGTCGACCGACTCAGGTGCGTCGCCTGATCTGACCCGGGCGAGAAGAGCTGAGTGTTGAGTTTAGGGTTTAGAGTTTAGGGTTTAGGGTTCAGGGTTTAGGGTTTAGGGACTTCCTCGTTCAACAACCCCCTGGTTCAAGTTCTCAGCAACCAAACCCCCCCCCCCCCCGCCTTTAAAACAAGGCCCAGCAGCCCCACGTCCGAAGCACTGGCCCTTAGCCACCCTGCGCATGAACCCAAGAACCAGTGGGGGCAAGTTTGCAGAGAGCCGGCGAAGCATTCGGTTGCGGGTGTCTTCCCCAGGATGGGCGTCGCATCCGAAATCTGCCGAACGGAAGGAAGCTCCGTAGGCCGAAGCGCCGTGCTTTCCCAGGGGGGTATCCTCTCAAGAGGCCTCTTGGGCAGCATCGAGCTGCTAGAAAACCCAGGCGCTTTTCCGTTTGAGAGGGCCCGAAACGACTCAGGCCCCCCGAAGCCCTGTACCAGTTTCCATGCTGTGTTGCTATCCGCGCCCTAGGCCCTAGACTTCACCCCAAGGGCCACACGGCTCTCTCAAGCGCTGACTCAGAGTTGCTTCTGCCTCCTAAGGGGACCAGTGCTTCTGTTGCCACGTGCCTCCGTTGTTGAGCAGTTCATGTGGCAGCTGCAGCGAAGCGAACTTTGTGAGCATTCTGAGTTCGACCCGTGGGCAAGAGAAGTGGAAATGTTCGTGTTGGTTTGTGCAATCGATCAATACCCTCCTTCTCTAGAATAAAATTGCTACAGCCCCCCCCCCCCCCCCCCCCCCCCCCGGCTGGATGGGCACAAGCCGTGATTGTATTTTGTTCGAACCGTAAACCCTAAACCCTAGACCCTATATCCTAAACCCTAAACCCTAAATAAACCCTAAATCCTAAACCCTCAACGGCAAGATCCATCTTTGTAGGCGCGGTCTAGGTAGGCATGCTCTTTGTCACCATGGCTGCGGTCATTGTGGGCATCGGTACCTGTTGCGCCCACATGGGCATGTGAAACGGGTGTACAACAAACAACACTGGCTCTGTTGATATTAATACTTATAATATATTGTTATTATTATTATAATTATACTAGTACATCGTTTTTGTTTCGTTCGTTACAGTCTTGTATGCTACATTTTCCTAAACGCAACTCCATTGCCTTTCGATGATAGCGCCCAAGTCAGGCCGGCTGCTGTGCCCGGAGTTGTGCTGCTACGTACTGATCCCCTCCCCCCCCGCCCTCCCCCTGCCAGAGAAGCAAAGCGCTCGACATAACTTGTCATGTACTTGTACAAGGTCGCTATTTCAGGAGAGTCTTCATAGCAGGGGGGGAAGGGAAATACCTGCCACCCTCTCCTCTGCCTCTTGCCAGTTATGCCAGTGCATTACGTCCTTCGAAATGCTACTGTGAATGGTACTTGAAGGCTCATAAGAGTTAGGTTTTAGGGTTCAGTGTTTAGGGTTTAGGGATACCTATGGCTTAGGGTAAGGTTCCTGTGTAGTTATAGTTGGGGCTCTTAGTAGGGCAATTGTGGCTATGACCTTATTTAGGGCACTTACAGCCCCACGCACAGGTACCCATGAACGTTGACCCCAAAACCCAAAACCCAAAACCCAAAACCCAAAACCCAAAACCCAAAACCCAAAACCCAAAACCCAAAATCCAAAACCCAAAACCCAAAACCCAAAACCCAAAACCCAAAACCCAAAACCCAAAACCCTCAACCCTCAACCCTCAACCCTCAACCCTCAACCCTCAACCCTCAACCCTCAACCCTCAACCCTAAACCAAGTAGGCTCTGTGAGCTGCAGCCGCTTCCGCCAGAGCCCCGCCATGAACTTTAGTTCGCATACTCAGGCTTGATGCCCGAAAGCCAACCCTAGACCTGAAGCCCAAGAAGCCTGAAGTTTCAGGGATGTTGGAACCCTCAACCCCAAGCCCCAAACCCTAAGCCCCAGCCCCTAAACCCCCCTTCTTTTGGTAGGGCCGTAGCTAGCTTTTCAGCTTCTGGCCCTGCGCGTCCGTTGAGTGGCGCCTGTGAACTGCCATCCTGCCAACAGTTCAGAAGAGCCTAGTCCTCATCCACGTCTTATCGAGTCGATTCAGACCTCTACTGCCCTAATAAGTCATGGCCCTTCTTCTCACGCTGCCGCTGCTGGCGGTGATAGGCCGGACGGTTGTTAGTTGCTGTCGCGCTCTGCAGCAAGGCATGAATCCTAGGCAGAGAGTTGCATGAATGGTTTTAGTATTCTATTCTTACATGCTATATCAAATACACATGATGGTTAGAACTCTCTGAGTATAATGATATGTTATTGTGTATTATAGTATTGGATTATACAGTTGTGCATTATATCATTAGATTACAATGTTGGCATATGTTGGCAGAAGAACAGCAATATATCATATCCTTATAGGCTAGCTCTGAGTATACTACTGTATGACTACTGCTATTTAGAACCGTTTTGTTCTATGGCTTTGTTTTTATTATGCGCAGTCACTGCATGCATGTCTGTTCCTAAGGGTCTTGTCCGCTTGCATCTTCTCTTTTGCTTCCGGGTCCTCTGGTTTTTAGGGTTCCGGTTCCGGCGGCTTCGATGCAAAAGCTTTGCCCCAGGGTTTTAAGGTTTGGGGAGGGGGGTTTAGGGTTTAGGGTTTATTATGGTTTAGGGTTTAGGGTTTAGGGTTGGGGAGGGGGGGTTGGGCGCAGGGTGGGTGGCTTGAATATGGGGCTTCCCGGTCCTTTCTTGGAAGCAGTTGTTAATGCGAATGTCAGTTGTTCATGTCAGAGATGATGTTGGTGATGAGGTTATGTTGTGTTGTGGTGTGTCAGGTTGTGCTATTCTATGTTTATTCTATGTTTGTGTTTGGTTGGGGTGTTGTGCGGGGCCATGTTCAACAACCACTGCGTACCAACCAATAAGGTCTTCATGAAAACGAGTTCCAGGAAAGCACCATGCAGACACGGGGAAACCCCTTGCAACAGCACCCTGGTCAGCCTCCTAAACCCTAAACCCTAAACCCGAAACCCTAAACCCTAAACCCTAACCCCTAACCCCTGACCCCTAAACCCTAAACCCTAAACCCTAAACCCTAAACCCTAAACCCTAAAAAAAAACCCTAAACCTAAACCCTAAACCCTAGCCGGTTGAACTTTGTCGCGTCCAGGTGCTGGGACAGCCGCGAGGCCTGGTCTGACGCTCTGGCTTGTGGAGTTTCGGTTTTTTGGGACTTAGGGTTTAGGGTTTAGGGTTTGGGGTTTGGGGTTGGGGTTTGGGGTTTAGGGGTACTTCCTTACCGAGAGCCACCAACCCTGACTGTTACAGGAACGGGTTCATGTGGGGCTGTTACTAATGGGTGGTTAAGGGTTTAGGGTTTAGGGGTACTTGGGTTAAGGAAGCTTTTTCATAAAGAAAAAAGTACCTCTGAAACGGGAGGGGGTCCTTGCTTTTGGAACAACCCACGTGCACGTCGAGATGAACTTCGTCTTCAGCGTGATTCCACACCTTGGAGAACTTGTGGGTTCGTCATCTCTCCTTCGTCCCGGGTTTAAGGTTTAGGGTTTAGGGTTTAGGTTTAGATTTGCTTGCTTAAGAGCCTCAAAATTGTAAACATAATATTCCCCATATTCCCATCCCAAGGAAGAACATTTGAGTCTTTTGGGGCCTGAAGCAAATTGGATCTTATAAGGTACCTAACGAATCCTTGAATCCCCAACGAAGAACTAGTAAGACACCCAGCGTGCGTTCCAGACGTATTGCTTTCGACGAGCACCACATGCAAAGTACTGGCGCAGCACTACCGGACTACCGTAAACCCTTCACCTTGAACCCCAAACCTGAATTCCCTAAAGCATATAAACCGTAAACCCTAAACCCTACACCCTAAACCCTAAACCCTAAACCCCTAAACCCCTAAACCCCTAAACCCCTAAACCCCTAAACCCCTAAACCCCTAAACCCCTAAACCCCTAAACCCTAAACCCTAAACCCTACACCCTAAACCCTAAACCCGAAACCCTAAACCCCAAACCGCGAAACCCTAAACTCCGAAACCCTAAACCCTTCTGGAGGGCAGCGCTTGGACCGGCGCCGGCAGTTGCGTGGCGCAACTCCGAGCTCTCGGCGGAGGCCAGCCAGCAAAGTGAACTAGGGGTTTGTTCTATTCAGGGTTTAGCGTTTAGGGTTTAGGGTTTAGGGTTTAGGGTGTAGGTGTAGGGTTTAGGGTTCCGGGTTTAGAGTTAAGGGTTTAAGTTGAGGGTTTAGGGTTTAGGTACATCATGGTACCTTCTGTGCGGGGTTAAGGGGTTTAGGGGTTTAGGGGTTTAGGGGTTTAGGGGTTTAGGGGACTCTGAGGAATCTGGGAGACACTCTGAATGAAAAGGACTTCAGGCAGCCCGAATTCCGGTCTCTCTGGGACTACTGTGGAGAGATGGTTCGCTGCGGCGAGCCTTTTCTTGCTGAAATGCCGAGAGGCCTCCAGGCCGATCTTGCCACGGGCCTGCACCTTAAAAGGGTTTAGGGTTTAGGGTTTAGGGTTTAGGGTTTAGGGTTTAGGGTGTAGGGTTTAGGGAACCCTGAAATGAACTCCTTGGAATCCCAAAGAGCGCCCCCTCCCTTCCCCAGTTGCCGGACTCCTTCACGCACCTCTTGGGCGCCGTGGGCTCCGTTTGCGTCACCGGCGACGACCGGGCGGGGCGCTGAGTCTAGGGCTTGGCGTGGGCTTGAAACTAGGATGCCCAGTAGTACCCTTATTCCCTTTTTGGGGGGTTTAGGTTCCCTTATAAACCCCTTCAAGCAAAAAAGGGCACCCTTTTTAAGCCTTGGTTACTGGGCAGCCTAGGAAACCCTAGTGTTCACTACACCCCAATGATTCCCCCCCTTAAAGCCACACCAGCTCCAACCATCCCTGACGAGACCCTCAAGCCGCAGGTTTTTGTCGGTTGGGCTTGGGGTTGGGCAGCTTGAGAATCTGGTCTGTGAGACTCCGTCGCCTTCAGTTTCCTGACGCCTTCTCAAACAATCTACACACGAGTCAATCCCGACATGAAGAAGGGAGCTCTTCGTCTCCTGCGATTCCGCACAAGTGCTGTGCAGGTTGGAAAGTCCACCCTCCTCACAGCTTGGACGCAGAATCTCACGGGACGCGAGGACGGCTGGATCTTAAAGGGCTTTGTGGGTTTTTGAGGGTTTTGGGGGGTTTTGGGGGTTTTTGGGGATTTAGGGTTTTTCGGGGTTTAAGGTGGGCAAAGACGTTGGGTTGACATTGTGAGGCTTCCCCGCGGGGGACCTAAGGTTGAAAAGCCACCCCCCCCCCCCCCCCCCCCCCCCCCCCCCCCCCCCCCCCTCCACCCCCCCCCACCCAGCCCCCACCAAAGCCGGTGGGGCTCAGAAAAGCAAGGACTTCGTGTTTCCTGCGGGGCAGACGCGCGACTCCCTGACCAAAGGCGGAGGGGGCGGGGGTGGGCAGGACTCTGCGCAGTTGGGAGTTGGGGAAACCTGCTGTAATTTCTGAAGGGAAACCGAGACCCAAGACCCAAGGCTTATGACTGACAACCCAGATCGGAAGTGAGAAGTCCATACTTCCCTCCTACCCTAAATCCCTCACCCCAAAAAAAGACGCCTCCCACCGGAGGTCTTTGGTCCGCCGTCCTACCAGCCGAGGTGTTTCATGGGGGAGTGGGTGGGGGGGCGCTTCCAGGGGCTGTTGAGTGGTCTGAGGGTCGATGGTTTGTAGGGTTCAGAGGCTGAGGGTTTCAGCGTGGCAGGGCTTGCAGGGTCGATAAAGGAGGGCTTTGACGGTCTAGGTCGGGCTTGTGAACCCTAGTTGTTCTTTATCAACAGAACGAGATAGAAAAATCAAACGAACACGGCAGCAAATAAGCGTAAGCATATCAACATTATATACATATAACTCTCAATATAAATAAGCAATGTCTATGTGCGTGTGTAAATATATATAGAGATATTTATTTATTTGCTTATGTGTACTTAAGGCGCGACAATACAGTCATTTCAAGCCTTCCACAAGCCGCGAAGCTGTCAAGGCTACGAACTACGGATTCAGGGTTCAGGGTTTAGGGGGGGCCTACTTTGAATATTCGGGTTCAGAACTCCCTCTCGAGCCCAAAGGGTTTCGGTCAGTTTAGAGCTTAGGGTTTAGGGTTTAGGGCTACTGTGCCCGTACCTCTACTCGCCGCGTTTCGTCCTGCTGTGTGGCCTTGGGTCCGCCCCGAGACGCCCTTGTAGACGGACCGTCCTGAGGCTGTCTTCAGTTGGCTGCAGATCTTCAGTCGAGCCTAAACCCCTTCAGGGGCTAGGGGATTAGGGTTTAGGGTTTGGCTAGGTTTCTTTGAGTTGGGGTTAGGTTCCTCTTTGCCTGGACCAAGATGATATCTGAGGGAGCCTCGGACCCCGCACACCACTGCCTAAGCTTTACAGTCCTAAACCCCATGTGGGGTTCAGGTTTTTGGGTTTAGAGCTCACGCTGAAACCCTAAACCCTAAACCCTAAACCCTAAACCCTAAACCCTAAACCCTAAACCCTAAACCCTAAACCCTCAACCCTAAACCCGCAACCCGCAACCCTCAACCCGCAACCCTCAACCCTCAACCCTCAACCCTCAACCCTAAACTCTAAACCCTAAACCCTAAACCTGCAGGCGACGGGCCTGGACTTTCACCTCAACCTCTGTGACTCGCAGGGCTTGAAACAGGTCAACGAGCTGGAGCAGTGGAGGCGAAGAAGACTGATTCCCGCCTAACCCCTAAGCCCTAAACCCTAAACTCGAGATCCTCGACCCTGGACCCTAAACCCTAAATCCTAAACCCTACACCCCAAACCCCAAACCCCAAACCCTAAACCCAACCCTAAACCCTAAACCCTAAACCCTAAACCCTAAACCCTAAACCCTAAACCCTAAACCCTAAACCCTAAACCCTAAACCCTAAACCCTAAACCCTAAACCCTAAACCCTAAACCCTAAACCAAGTCTCAGAGGCTTGAGGAGTTCCTGGGTTCAAGGGGTTTACTGAAGCTGTGGAGGTGCTCCGTCGCTTTGGTTTGCATTTGGCCCTGAACTTCGCTTGGTACTGCCCTAAGCCGTAAACCCTAAACCCTAAACCCTAACCCTAAACCCTAAGCCCTAAACCCTAAACCCTAAACCCTAAACCCTAAACCCTAAACCCTAAACCCTAAGCCCTAAGCCCTTGACTCCAAACCCCAAACCCTAACCCTAAACCTATCCTGTGCAGTTAGACGCGTGAAGTCATCTCGCAAGGAGGATCCCACACCCCAACAGGCCGCACCCCCGTGGACATCACTGCTGTTTGCCTAAAACCACTATTCATCGTTTTAGGGCAAGATACGCATTATTGTCTTTCTTCTTAAGCAAGTAGCAGTTTGGGGCTTCAGCCCCACATCTCTCAAGCACCACACACCATCTGAATTCCCTCAATGCTTGAATCTCAACTCCCAACCCTACAGTGCCCAAACCCGAAGCCCAAATTCGGGTTTAGGTTTAAGCCTAAGCATTTCCTTCGGCAGGCTCTTTGCAGCGAACGTCCTGATACCCCAGGCCTGGGTGTCCTGGGTGTCAGGTTTCAGGAGGGCAGGGATGGTCTTAGGCTTCAGGCTCTTGACTTACCAGTGCTGAAGGGGGAGTAAGGGAGGGGATCCCTGAGCGTTAGACTCCCTACATCCCCTGTAAGCCCTAATCAGCCTTCATCAGCCCTATCATAAGCCCCAAAAACCCCCTATTTAGCCCTATAATAAGCCCTATGAAGCCCTACTCAGCCTTATGAAGCCCTATTAAGCCCCATAAAGCCCTAGAAAGCCCTATGAAGCCCTATTCAGCCTCTAAACCCTAAACCCTAAACCCTAAACCCTAAACCCTAAACCCTAAACCCTAAACCCTAAACCCTAAACCCTAAACCCTAAACCCTAAACCCTAAACCCTAAACCCTAAACCCTAAACCCTAAACCCTAAACCCCTAAACCCCTAAACCCTAAACCCTAAACCCTAAACCCTAAACCCTAAACCCTAAACCCTAAACCCTAGCCCTATTCAGAGTTCTTAAGCCCAGACCCTGGTCTACATGACCATCAACGTGGTGCAGAACGACCAGCTCAGGGACCTGGCCCGGATGGCCCACCAGGTGCCTCAGGTTGTGTAGGGTTTAGGGTTTGGGGTTTAGGGTTTGGGTTTAGGGTTTAGGGTTTGGGGTTTAGGGTTTAGGGGTTAGGGCTTAGGCTTGCTATTTTGGAAGATCTTTTCATGCGGCTTTGCAATGAATAAAAATGAATGTAACGCCGCACGAATAAGAACCCCGCAAAATAAGCCCATTCATTCATTTAATTCACGCCCATAATAAGTCTTTTAATGGGGCGTGTACACCATCTACAACTTCTGTACACCGTTCTCTATTTTCATGCGTTCTCTTAATAATCCGGAAATTAGGAAATGAATGTAGAAAAAGTGAGTAAAAAGACTAATAAAATAGTAAATCCTAAACTGGGGCGCATTTATAAGCGCAATAAAATCCTTGTCCTTTGCCCGTAATATTATAACAAGTGAGTGTACGAACGCATGATATTAAATTATGAGATCTCCTGGTCTTGGAAGTGATAAATCTTAGTATGCATATTAGCTTTACCTTTAGGACATATAATTCTCTTCGTCTTTTAAGAGAGCACAAGGGCGCAACTTCTGTCTCACTGTGCCCGTATTAATATTAGAAGGCCCCAAATCCGGCTTGAGAAGATATTTGGGGGGTCTAGGTCCGGGTAGTTCAGGGGTGGGTGATGTGGGTTTAGGGTTTAGGGTTCAGGGTTCAGGGTTTAGGGGTTATACTCTGGCAGTGCCTCTGCTCAGTTCCAGCTCCTGGCCAACAGCTCCAAAGCAGCCTTCGCGCGCTTCGGGCGCGTGCTGTCGCCGCACCTGATTGTGGTGGCGGGGCCGCCCAGTGTGAGGGCAGGGTTCCGCTTTTCTTCTTTTTCCCCACCCTCGGTGTGGGGTTGTTAGATTTTAAACTCAACTCTTCTCCTCGCCCGGTCTACTCCTACAAAAACGTGCCCAACCCAGAGTCTCCCAGCCAGACTGCTGGGCCCAACCGAGTGCCTTGAATTGCCCAACTCCAAAGTCTCCCTCAAGTGCCCAACCCCAGAGTCCAGACACCTGGAGTGCTCCTGGAGTGCCCAACCCCAGAGTTTTTCTGGAGTGCCCAGCCCAGAGACCTTTTTTGGAGCTGAAGAGACTCCCTGGAGTGCCCAACCGAGAGACTCCTGGAGTGCCCAGCCCCAGAGACTCCCTGGAGTGCCCAACCCCAATTGCAAGCAAAAACGAAGAAGCGTATTTGAATCAATGTCTCTTTGTTTGAACATCTTCTTTGCGCTCTTTCCTTTTTGGCGAGGAGCAAGGCGGGGATGTTCGAAGTAACATAAGTGTTGTTGTTTGTTTTTGTTAGTTCCCTGAACCCCCTACCCCCGAAATGTCTCCCCCTGCCCCCCACAACCCCAACCCTAAACCCTAAACCCTAAACCCTAAACCCTAAACCCTAAACCCTAAACCCTAAACCCTAAACCCTAAACCCTAAACCCTAAACCCTAAACCCTAAACCCTAACCCCTAAACCCTAAACCCTAAACCCTAAACCCTACACCCCCTCCGCCCAAGGTGCGTGAGGAAAGTGACCTCGACGGAGAGCCGAATGAGGCGCTGGGGGAGAAAGGGTAGAAAGGGTGGAAAGGGTGGAAAGGGTGGAAAGGGTGGAAAGGGTAGAAAGGGTAGAAAGGGTAGAAAGGGTAGAAAGGGTAGAAACGGTAGAAAGCGTGGAAAGTCTGACACCTACATCAGCAGCCCCCTGAGTCTGAACTACGAAGCACCCCTTTTTGGATGTGTCTGGGCGGTTGTTCAAGATTCGGGCCAAAGCGGGCACGAATGCCCAAAACCTACCCACCAACCCTCACCCCCAAGCCCCCACTCAGAGAGCTCGACAATGAGAGCCAAAAAATCTGAACTCATCGTGAAGACCTCCTATGTGGTTCAGGGTGTCTTCCTTCATTATGGTCATGCTCGGAGGTTCATGGGTTATGAGTAGGGTAGCTATGGTTATAGCCTTATTTAGGGTACCAAGAATCCCACCTGTAAGTACCCATGACCCTTCAAGTGACCTCCCCAGAAACACGCCGCCCCTCCTCTTGAACCCCAGCCAGAATGGGCGGAACCTCACCGCGCACCTGGAGCAGGCTCTTCCCGGTGATGTTAGGGTCTGGGTTTGGCATGTGCGCCATCGGCCAGAAAGCGATGCAGTTTCGGGGGTTTACTACTAATTGCTCAAGAACACCGAAAAACACACATATTCTTGGGATTATATATTCTTTATTCCTTCGGGGTTCTTAAGCAACTAGTAGTTCAGGGTTTATGGGTTTGAGGTGCGAGGGCTTGGGAGTCTGGAGGACACCATCCTGAGAGTTGGGCAAGTGTTTGAGTGGTATAAGCTGAACCCAAAAATTGCCAGAACCTAAACCCTAAACCCTAAATCCTAAACCCTAAGCCCTAAACCCTAAACCCTAAACCCTAAACACTCTATCAAACGCTGAACCGCAAGCCCTACGCAACCCCGGGCGAAACGTCCGAATTCCGTGCTGAGGCTCTGAGCAGTCCGGGCTTTGCTGCAGATAAGGCCAGGGACTGGACAAGACACACTCAGATTGGGGCTTCAGGAGTCTAGGGGTCAATGTTCGGGGTTGAATGTACGGACTTGGGGTTTAGGGGTCAGGGGTTTAGGGCTTGAGAGGTCTGATAAGGGCTCAAGATGCAGCACTTTGCAAGTTGTTTATGATGCACAGGAAGCTCTGAGCAGAGTCCGTGCTGGAATGGGTGGTGAGGGAGCATCCTATGTGGCCACCAAGACGTTGGCACACGTGGTTGGGGTTTAGGGTTTAGGGTTTAGGGTTTAGGGTTTAGGGTTTAGGGTTTAGGGTTTAGGGTTTAGGGTTTAGGGTTTAGGGTTTAGGGTTTAGGGTTCTCTCATACTTTCACAGCTAGAGTTCTAAGAAAGAACCCTTGTTTGCTTTCCCAACCATGCAAGAGGCGCTGATCCGTCAAATCTTCAGGTCTCGGGAGGCCCGTGCCCTTTTGCAGGTATTTCGGCTTCGGGGTTTTGGGTTGTGGGGTTTCAGCATAAAACCCCTAAGCCATGAAGCCCAAACCCTAAACCTACCCCCCCCCCCCCCCTTTATCTGCGTTTGGGCGAAAGGCCCGGGTCGGGTAGGCCAGTGTTGCCGAGATGGCCCAGTTGAGTGCTTTGCGCGCTGAACCTTATAGGGTCTGTGCTTAGGGCTTAGCCACTGGGGGGGGGGGGGGGGAAAGCATGCATGTTTGGATCCCCAACCCAGAAATCACAGTCCTTTGTATGGAACCTGAAACGGGTACCGTCCCGCCTAGCTTTCGAGCCCCCCTTACCTTCTTTCGTGGGCTCCAAAGAATCCTATGAGGGGGTTTCTGAAGCAGGAACCCTACACCCCTAGCTCCTAAACCCTGTGAACCCTAAGCTCTCTAAACCCTCTAAACCCTCCAAACCCTATAAACCCTGTAAACTCTATAAACCCTAGAAGCCCTATAAACCCTGCAAACCCATGAACCCTATAAACCCTATGAGTCCCAGAAACCCTATAAGCCCTGTAAACCCTATAAACGCCAGAAACCCTAGAAACCCTAAACACCCTAAACCGCAAACCCTATGAACCCTAAACTTTCCCCTATAACTCCGAAACCCCTAAGCCTCAAACCCTACAAACCCTAAACCCTGAACCCTATAAACCATCTACACCCTAAACCCAAAATAGCCCCAAGAACACCGAAACCGCTCCCCGATAAACTCTAAACCACCGAAACTCCAAACCCTAAACCCTAAACCCTAAACCCTATACCCTATACCCTAAACCCTAAACCCTAAACCTAAACCCTAAACCCTAAACCCTAAACCCTAAACCCTAAATGCCCGAAGCCCCAAACCGGCCTTGGGGCTGCTGCATGGACAGCCAGGCCTGGTCTCTTGAGGAGCTGCCTCTGGAGGCCCGGCCAGGGTTCAGGGTTCAGGGTTCAGGGTTTAGGGTTTGGGGGTTTGGGGGTTTGGGGGTTTGGGGGTTTGGGGGTTTGGGGGTTTGGGGGTTTGGGGGTTTGGGGGTTTGGGGGTTTGGGGGTTTGGGTTTGGGTTGGGGGTTTGGGGGTTTGGGGGTTTGGGGGTTTGGGGGTTTGGGGGTTTGGGGGTTTGGGGGTTTGGGGGTTTGGGGGTTTGGGGGTTTGGGGGTTTGGGGGTTTGGGGGTTTGGGGGTTTGGGGGTTTGGGGGTTTGGGGGTTTGGGGGTTTGGGGGTTTGGAGGTTTGGGGGTTTGGGGGTTTGGGGGTTTGGAGGTTTGGAGGTTTGGAGGTTTGGAGGTTTGGAGGTTTGGAGGTTTGGAGGTTTAGGGCTCAGCGAAGCTTATGAGAAAAACCTGAACGTCAGGGCCAGTATGTTAAGAAACCGCAAGCCTCACTCACCCGGGAGCCTCACCCAGAAACCTGATCGGGGTTTTCAGACTGCGGGTTCTAGGGCTCGGGGATTTCAGCTTAGGTTGCTTGGATGCGGGACTTAGAATTTGCCTACTTTCCAACCTCCAACGCGGCCACTGAAGGTGTCGACCCTTCAAACCCCGAGCCCTAAACTAGGCCGCAGCCTCAACCTTCCTCTACCCTAAACCCTAACCCCTGAAACCTGCACTACAGGCAGATACACGTACATGCCTACATACATGCTTTAAGATTTTAAGTACATACACACATACATAAATCACTTCCATACAGACATGACATGCATACATACATACATACATACGTACATACATACATACATACGTACATGCTTACGTACATACATCCATGCATGCATGCAAATGTGCACGAGTGTGTATGTATACATCTACAAGAATGTAAGATCGGGGCCTTGATGATTAAACAGGGTTTTGGGTGCTATTGTAATACAATGATAACGGGACCATCAGCAATTATTCCGACCCCTTTAGTATTTGCATACCGGTGTGGTGCGCATGTCTGTCTGTGCACATATGGTGTACGGTTTTGATGGGGGAGTGTGTGTGTGTGTGTGTGTGTGTGTGTGTGTCTGTGTCTGTGTGTCTGTGTGTCTGTGTGTCTGTGTGTGTGTGTGTCAAGTCGAGTTCGGGTCCGCCCATGTAGGTGCGCAGCCACAGCCTCCATCCCCTAAACCTCCAACCTCCAAACCCCCTAAATACCCTACACGCCCTAAGCCCAAGCCCCAAAGCAACCTCTTTCGGCCCGTTCCAATGTCTCAGGCCCGCAAGGCCCTGCGAACTGGTGCCAGGGCCCTGGTGGAGAGGCTTCATTCGGCCCATCTTGAGGGCAGGCCCCGAAGTCCTCTCAGGGTTTAGGGTTTAGGATGCCAAAATCCCAGCAAAAACCGGACCTTTTTCGCCGGCGGCCCCCCCCCCCCCCCTTTCTAAGGCCAAATGCCAAAATCGGAGCCGGAACTGCACCCCTGCCCTTCTCAGTCCTCCCAAAGCCCCGACGTAAAATTCAACACATACCGGTTTTCGAAAACCAATGAATCCAGAAGTCTAAAAAACTAAATCCTGATTTAGTTGTTGCATTTGGGTTGGGCTTTGACCTACCTCGACATACCTTGTCCCCTCCAACGACACAATTAAATCCAGATTTAATTGTGTTTCTTTGCGTTTGACTGGAAGACAATTAAATCCTGAGTTAATGGTATAGCAGAGACTTGTCCTGATTGGTACCTATTTGCACCATTAAATCATGATTTAATTGTACTATGATTACTACGATTACTATTAGTATTATTATTGTTACGATTATTATTAGTATGTTGCTACTATTACTATTATTATTATTATTATTATTATTGTTATGATTATTACTATTATTATTCCTATTACGATTAGTAATATGATTACTATTACTCTTATTATTATTACTATTATTATTATTATTATTATTATTACTAGTCGTGGTATTATTACTAATACTCTCAGTCTTAGTATTACTATTATTTTCTATTACTATGATTATTACTTTTACTATCATTATTATTATTGTTATCACGAAAGCTCGCGTAGCGGAGCTGGAGTTTTATCTGCTTTAGCAGTAGGGGGCCGACCACGGCCAGAAAACAGCGTATCATTGACACAATCTTATTAGGGGGGGGGGGGGTAGGGGGGGGGGGAGGGGAGGGAGGGGGGGGGGAGGGGGGGGAGGGGGGGGAGGAGGGGGGGGGGAGGAGGGGGGGAGGAGGGGGGGGAGGAGGGGGGGGAGGAGGGGGGGGGGGGTTAAATTGATATATCACACGAATTCCTTGGTTTTGGAAGGGGGGGGGGGGGGAGGGGGGGGGGGGGGGGGGGGGGGAGGGGGGGGGGGGAGGGGGGGGGGGAGGGGGGGGGGGAGGGGGGGGGGGAGGGGGGGGGGCGTAAATTGATACATCACACGAATTCCTTGGTTTTGGAAGGGGGGGGGAGGAGGGGGGGGGGTAAATTGATATATCAATACCTGAAGGGCGGGGCGTTTTTACGTCAAGACCTGACTCCGTCGCGTGTTGACCGCAGTGCGTGAGTCAGGCTCCCAGCACAACATGCGTCGCCGCCCACTAGTGATGTGTTGATTGCAACGAGCTAGTTGATTGCAAGAAGCTAGTATCTACCCAACATGGAGACCCCTCAAGCATGCCTCCGACAGCACGCTTTCTCATGCAACTTTGCTCTTGCTTCCGGCCCTCGAGCTTTCGTCCTCCCTGCCTCCGGCCCTCAAGTTACTATTACTCTTATTATTATTGCTATTACTCTTATTACTATTACTATTACTATTACTATTACTATTATTATTATTATTATTCTGATTATTCTTATTATTTCTATTATTATTACTTTTTACTCTTAGGATTATTATTCTTATTATTCTTACTATTACAATATTATTTCCTATTATCATTATTATTGTTATTATAATTTCTACTATTGCTACTATTATTGTTATTATTATTATTACTATTACTATTACTATTACTATTACTATTACTATTACTATTACTATTACTATTACTATTACTATTACTATTACTATTACTATTACTATTACTATCACTATTATTATTAGTATTATTATTACTGTTATTGTTATTGTTATTGTTATTGTTATTCTTATTACTATTACTCTAGGGGGAACAATTAAATCGTGATTTAATTGTTGAAAGGTAGGGGGAACAATTAAATCATGATTTAATTGTGGGAATGTCCAGACATGTATTGACGATGCTTTGGCTGATTCTAGCCTGGTCTCGTCTACTCTGGTCTGGTTTGTCGATAGTCTAGAGTCTGTACGTTCCACAGTTCCCAGACCTCCTTTCCAATCTGAAGGGTTGTGCCTGTGCCAGCAGTTTTCCTGCCAGTCGACATATGCTTGTCGTGCCCACGAAAAGACCTCCGAGGAAGCGTGAGCTCCCACAATCACCTCACTGCCATGCCATCAACATTCCGGTGTAGGTGTATTTAGTTATCTAATTTCATGGGCGTCCTAGTGGTTAAGGTGGTTCCCGATCCGACCCGTATTCAGGCTTGGTCATTGATTCATGTCCATTAAATCTTGATTTAATTCTGCTGCGGGTTGGGGTCGTCTAGCAGAAACAATTAAATCCTGATTTAATTGTTTCCCTTGAGCAGCTTGCCCGCATGGCATGCTACGTCGCGCGACGTTAACAGGCAATTAAATCGAGCTGGACCTACGGGGCGTCGAGCCGGCCCGATGCCGGTCAATTAACTTCAGAGCTAATTTTCCTTAACTCTTGGATTCGCTGCCTTCCACCAGTTTTCTGGTTAGATGTTATTTGCTTGTTTTGGTCCGACCTTCCCCCCCCTCGCCTCTTCTTCCGTTTAGCTTTATCTGATTGGAAAAAAGGCTTGAGGCGGGTGGTGCAGGGCTCGGGGTTTAGGACCTGATGGTGCAGGGCCAGGGCTTATGGATTAAGTGACCTTAATATTTTCTTAATTGACCAGTGAATGCCTGGACTTGAGATGCTGAACCCTAAACCCTGAAACCCTGAAACCCTAAACCCGAAATCCTCTAAACTTAAAGAGTCTCGGGTCTCTAGGCTGTTTTCTTTTGGAAGAGGCCCAGGGGTGGACCATGTTGGGATGGACATCGAGTTGGGGTTGAGGGTTTAGGGTTCAGGGTTTAAGGGTTCAGGGTTCAGGGTTTAGGGTTTAGGGTTTAGGGTTTGGGTTTAGGGTTTAAAGTTTAGGATTTCGGGGTAAAGTTTAGGATTTCGGGGTCTCGTGTTGGGATTGGGGTCGGTGCGCCAAAGATGCCATGAGCCTTGCATGCATCCTTGAGCTTGAACCTAACAACACCCTAGGCGCTGTACTAGGACGCCCACCCTAAACCCTAAACCCTCAACCCTCAACCCTAAACCCTAACCCTTAACCCTAAACCTGAAACCCTAAACCCTAACCCCGAGAGTACCCATATTCCCTCATTTAGGGGTGTAGCCCGGCACAGGTCGACCATGTGGCAGGACGCCTCTGGCGCCGCTCCGGTGAGGTGGGTGGGGGTTTAGTGTTTAGGGTTTAGGGTTTAGGGTTTGTTTAGGGTTTAGGGTTCAGGGTTCAAGGTTTAGGATTCAGGGTTTAGGGTCGAGGCGGAGGGCAGAGGAGGGTTTAGGGCGGGAGCTGTAAGGCCATGAAGGCTCAGCCCCTACAGGGAGAAGCCAAAATCTCAACACCGGAGCCCCAAACCCTGGAGCTCTGTGGCCACGGGTGGCGTGCTCTGAAATGCTGAGCCCAAAAACTAAACCCTAAACCCCTGAACCCTGAACCCTGAACCCTAAACCCGAACCCCCAAACCCGAAACCCCTAAACCCTAAACCCTGAACCCCTAAACCCCTAAACCCGAACCCCCAAACCCGAAACCCCTAAACCCTAAACCCTGAACCCCTGAACCCCTAAACCCCAAAACCTGCAAAACCTTTGCCCCTGGGCTCCCAAGCCGAGCAGCCGTTCTGCCAGACGCGGGGCATCCTGATCCTTGAGCCCTGAGACCTCGACCTGGGTGGTTGTCAAAATTATGGTCTTTGTGCTTAGGGGGTTTAGGGTTTAGGGTTTAGGGTTTAGGGTTTAGGGTTTAGGGTTTAGGGTTTAGGGTTGACCGGGGGAGGGGGGGGTGTCTCTATTCTAGTCTATTCCTTATATAGCCTAGGGTACGTAAAAGGTCGCCCCTTTTTGGATCCCTTTTGTAATACGGCACCTTATATTCAGGGTACCCCAACAGGGATCATCATTTTGACAACCACCCTGACGCCAGGATCTCTGAAATGCAAACCCTCAACTCTAGACCTAAACCCTGAACATCTGAGCCCTAACCCTAAACCCTAAACCCTAAACCCTGAACATCTGAGCCGTAAACTTCTGACCCCCATGACTCTTACAGCCCTCCCCTAAACCCGTAAACCCCAGACACCCCCAAATCCCACCAAGCCCCAAGGTCTAAACCCTGAAGCCCTTTGGGTTGTTTATGGGGTTGAGGTTTAGGGTTTAGGGTTCAGGGTTTAGGGTTTAGGGTTTAGGGTTCAGGGTTTTGGGTTTAGGGTTTAGGGTTTAGGGTGGGCGAGGTGGTGCTGCAACGCACTGTCGACGCCTTGAGGAGGACTCGGGAATTCGAGGGTGTTGTTTGGGTCTAAGGTTTGGGTTAAAGGGTTCGGTAGCATTCAGGGGTTTAGGGTTAGGGCTTTAGGGCTTTCGGGCTTTAGAGTTCTAGGGCTTTAAGGCTTTATTTACAATATCCTTTCAAAAGGTTCTTAGGGCGTTAAAGGGTTTCAGCTTAGGTTTACACAGGGCTTCGGGTCGGAGCTTCAGGGGCCCTCTTTGCCTTGCTTGGCCGATTTTTCCCATGCCCGAAGTCCTACATTCAAAAGCACTGGTTCTTGGGACCGCAGGGCTTGTGCTGTTTGGGTCCTTTGATAATCACCCCTCCCCACCCACCCCCCCCCCCTGGTGCTGGGTCTGAACAAAAGCTTTGCAGGACCGGGGGGGTTGGAGTTCTCAAGGTTGGGGGAGGGCTTCCTGTCGTCTGCAATCCTTGCGGTTGGATCTCGGGAGGCTTTTCTTGCGGATGGTACTAAAGAGGTTTAGGGGTCAGGGTTGAGGGTTTCTATCTGAACCAGCTGGACCGGACCACCTCTGCTCGAGTTAAAGGAGTCTCGACATACACCGCTGTTAAGGTAAAAGCCCCGGAAATAATTCAACTTTTGACCCCCCCCCCTTTTGGGATTGCAGTCGGATCTCAGGCTCCAGACAGCCCAACAATGGAAGTCGTTTCATGAAACAACCTTTTGGGGGCCCAAATCCACCCGAAAAAAACCTCACGAGCATCACCCTCTTCGGTGCTGTGACCGCAATATTACAGTCGCAGGTTCAAGATCCCCGGGTTGGCTCCTTCAATCAACCTGAGCCCACCACTCCAAACCCCAGGCCCTCAACCCTAAACATCTTAAATCCTAAGCCCTAAACCCTAAACCCTAAACCCCAAACCCCAAACCCTCAACCCTCAACCCTAAGCCCTAAGCCCTAAACAAGAATGAGCCGGTGCAGTCGCCAGCGGACCATGCCTCAAAGTGGCCTGGAGCTAGCAGAGTGGCGCTCGACTCAGCGTCAGAAAGCACCCCGAAACTTCGTAAGTTTGGGGTGTTCGCGTTTCGGTTTGCGGGGTTTCGGAGTGCTTCGACTTGCTTGCCCAGAGCTTCGCCACGTCTTCCCTTGTCGTGGTGCGACTCTTCTCGTCATGTTGTGATGTGGATGTGATGGTCGAACTGGTTGCATCGCAACAAAGAGGCTCTTGCTGTGAGGGCTGGGGTTGGGTTCAGGATTTAGGGTTTGGGGCCTTCGTGTTTGTGGGTTTAGGGTTTAGGGTTTAGGGTTTAGGGTTTAGGGTTTTGCGGGTTAGGTTTAGGGCTACGCTGGTGCGCATTGCGCCACTAGAAGCTACAATGCCTGGTGCGGCCCGTGGATGCAGGGGATGGCTGGCCGTTTCCCAGAGGGCCCCTCTTTGGAGGAATATTCCTTGAACCCTAAAGGGAACCCGATGATAGTTTAGGGAGTATTCCTCAATGAAGGGGTATTGGAGTCCCTGGGTTGAGGGGTGTCGAGTCTTGGACTTTAAGGTTTAGGCTTCGGAGTGCTGAGTCACCCAGTTTCGGGGAACCTGCTCTGGGAGGCTGTGTCCGGGACCCAAGGCCCAAGCCCTAAGTTCACAGCTGCAAGGTTTCCCTCCTCCCGCCCAAACCCGAAACTCCCCCAAACCCCAAACCCTAAACCCGAAACCCTAAACCCTCTCTATCCTTATAGAGTTAAACCCTGTTAACTTTTTGGTGCGTTTACCCCCCGTTGTTGAGCACTTTTTGGTGCAATCGGCACCGTTCTTGAGCACTTTTTGGTGCAAAAGGCACCGTTCTTGAGCACTTTTTGGTGCGTGGGCACCGTTCTTGAGCACTTTTTGGTGCGTTTGGCACCGTTCTTGAGCACTTTTTGGTGCGTTTGGCACCGTTCTTGAACACTTTGTGGTGCGTTTGGCATCGTTCTTGAGCACTTTTTGGTGCAATCGGCACCGTTCTTGAGCACTTTTTGGTGCGTGGGCACCGTTCTTGAGCACTTTTTGGTGCGTGGGCACCGTTCTTGAGCACTTTTTGGTGCAATCGGCACCGTTCTTAAGCATTTTTTGGTGCGTGGGCACCGTTCTTGAGCACTTTTGGTGTGTGGGCACCGTTCTTGAGCACTTTTTGGTGCGCGGGCACCGTTCTTAAGCATTTTTTGGTGCGTGGGCACCGTTCTTGAGCACTTTTGGTGCGGGGGCACCGTTCTTGAGCACTTTTTGGTGTGTGGGGACCGTTGTGGAGTGAACTTTATATTTCTTAATGTTATGGGATTCTTTGGGTGGGTGGGTTTGTTCCTAAGCCTGGAACCCCCTAATGACGATGAATGCTTGAACGGTGACCCTCTAGACCCTAAACCCTAAACCCTAAACCCTAAACCCACTCGAGAGGCTCGATTTCCGGCCAAGCCGGATTCCGTCGGGTCTCTTCGGAGTGACGGGCCCGGATACCCCCCAGAGGCCACTTTCCGGAAAAAAACCCTTCGGCGACTTCGAAAAACCCCCCAAAAAGCCTGTCTTTTCGCCTCGTCAACCCCCGGGGAGGGGCCCTCATCCCGGCCCCGGGGACCCTCCCGGGGTCGATTTTCGAGAGAATTTTCGCTAAGGGTGGGCCGAAGTGACGGGGTCGGATACTCGAGAGGCTCGATTTCCGATCGAGCCGGATTCCGGCCCCCCCCCTGCCGTCCCGGGCCAAACTCCTCGCCCGGGTCTCTTCGCAGTGACGGCCCCGCAAAGGCCACTTTCCGGAAAAAACCTCTTCGGCGACTTTCAAAAACCCCCCAAAGAGCCTGTCTTTTCGCTTCGTCGACCCCGGGGAGAGGCCTCATTCCGGCCCCCCGGGGCTGGGATGAGGGCCCCTCCCCGGGGTCGACGAGGCGAAAAGACAAGCTTTTTGGGGGGGTTTTCGAAATCGCCGAAGAGGTTTTTTTTCGGGAAGTGACATCTGGGGGGTATCCGGTCCCGTCACTCTGGAGAAACCTTGGCGAAAAAACTCGGCCCGGGGCCAAAAGGCAGGCTTTTGGGGGTGTTTTCGAAGGGCCGGGATTCCGGTCCGATTGAAGCCGTGTGAGGCGGGTCCCCGGGTCCGGGATGTTGCGTGACAGATTGGAGCGTTGGAGCGCGGTCTGCGTTACACTCCCGTCGGCTGTGGTCGGCGCGGATTCTTGATGACGGAGCGGGTATTTCGATTTTCGCGTGTGCTGTAAACCTAGTAAAAACACCTGGCGGCCCAGTAATTGGACACGGTGCAGAATCACTACCTTGTCACTCGTTTTGGGGTTTTCCGGTTTTCAGATTCGATGAAAAACACCTGCGTTTTGCTCGATCGGGAACCCCTCGAAATTCGAAATCATTAGTTTTGAAATTGGAGCGCTGCTCGGTTGCGCGCGCCCTCGGGCGGGCGCCTGCCGGCATGCTTGGTGGAAATCTGGGTTTAGGGGGGGCGACCGGATGCTATCGACCCTCCTTACTCGGCGGATGGCTACCGCTATGAAGGCACTAAAGAGCTCTAATAACCCCTGCACCTTGAAATCGCTGTTTTCGGTAGACTGTTGGCTCAAGCATCGCACTCTTTTGTTCCGCCGCAGTCTCTTTTGGAAGGATGGCCCCGAAGGCCGCGTCGGCAGTCTTGCGCCATAATTTATCCGGCATCTGCATTCCCCTGTAGGTGTCGAAGAACCAGCTCAAAAAGGCCCGCATGAACCCCAACCGGGCGGCGAATTCCGTTGTTCCGGCCTACAGCTTCGAGTCAGCTACTCAGCCATTTGATCATGAGCTTAGATTCCTTGATCATGAGCTTAGATTCCTTGAAGCCACTGAATTTTTCAGGACGTTCGGCCTTGACCCGGTGGTTTATGAGCACCTGAGGGTTCGGCTAGGCTTTCGGGCATCGGAACACCCGATCCTGGTCGTTCGCCCGGGCACCCCTATGGGCACGGATATAACGGTCCGTCTTCATGGCCAAGAAGCGGACCGGCAGGCAGTCGTTGGGCAATTTTCCCACGATTGTAAGACCTGCTTGGATGAGTCGGGGCCATTGCAAGTCTTCCTTCGGAAGCTCCAGCCCAATGAGGCTTGGAAGCACGTATACCTATGGCAGATTCGCCTGCGCTAAAACAAGGACCGGCGCCTGCTTCGTTTGCTCATGACATGTCAGTTTGAAGTCAGCATCGCATCAGGGTCTCATGTTTTTTTTTTCGTCGATGGCGCGGTTGAAACCAGGGCTTCAGGTATCCGACCCCGTCACTTCGGCCCACCCAGTGAAAATTCTCTTGGAAATCGACCCTGGGAGGGCTCCGCCCTAAAACCCTAAACCCTAAACCCTAAACCCTAAACCCTAAACCCTAAACCCTAAACCCTAAACCCTAAACCCTAAACCCTAAACCCTAAACCCTAAACCCTAAACCCTAAACCTCTCTTACCTATATATATTTAAACCCTATAGTCAGAAAATCGAGTGGCCCTGTTGGGCACTCAAGGGGGTCTGGCCTTGTCCTGGCCCGCGCGTGGGCGGCCTTGGCCTTCCAGATCGACCGGCCCTGTTGGGCACTCAAGGGTCTGGCCTTGTCCTGGCCCGCGCGCGAGCGGCCTTGGCCTTGGTTTTGGCCCTTCCAGATCGACCGGCCCTGTTGGGCACTAAGGGGGTCTGGCCTTGTCCTGGCCCGCGCGCGGGCGGGGCCTTGGTTTTGGCCCTTCCAGATCGACCGGCCCTGTTGGGCACTCAAGGGTCTGGCCTTGTCCTGGCCCGCGCGCGGGCGGCCTTGGCCTTGGTTTGGGCCCTTCCAGATCGACCGGCCCTGTTGGGCACTCAAGGGGGTCTGGCCTTGTCCTGGCCCGCGCGCGGGCGGCCTTGGCCTTTTGGCCCTTCCAGATCGACCGGCCCTGTTGGGCGCTCAAGGGTCTGGCCTTGTCCTGGCCCGCGCGCGGGCGGCCTTGGCCTTGGCCTTGGCCATTCCAGATCGACCGGCCCTGTTGGGCACTCAAGGGTCTGGCCTTGTCCTGGCCCGCGCGCGGGCGGCCTTGGTTTTGGCCCTTCCAGATCGACCGGCCCTGTTGGGCACTCAAGGGTCTGGCCTTGTCCTGGCCCGCGCGCGGGCGGTCTTGGCCTTGGTTTTGGCCCTTCCAGGTCGACCGGCCCTGTTGGTGGGCAGTCAAGGGTGTCTGGCCTTGTCCTGGCCCGCGCGCGGGAGGCCTTGGCCTTGGCCCTTCCAGATCGACCGGCCCTGTTGGGCACTCAAGGGTCTGGCCTTGTCCTGGCCAGGAAATCGACCGGCCCTGTTGGGCACTCAAGGGTCTGGCCTTTGTCCTGGCCCCCGCGCGCGTGCGGGCCTTGGCTTTTTCAAGGTTTTTCAAGGTTTTTCAGAGTTTTTCAGTGTTTTTTATGGTTTTTCAATGTTTTTCAGGGTCTTTCAGGGTTTTTAACCCTCAATTCTGATGAAGGGCCGCCCCCGCGACCTTTTCACAGCCTAATTTTGGTCAAGGGGGGGTCGTATTTTTCAATTTTAAAGGCAAAATAGTCTTCTGAGACCCCCCCTTGCCTCAAACTCCGACCCCCCCTTGAGAGGGAAAGTTTGCCTCCAAAAACACCCAAAATGAGGGGGACCCCAGGATCGGCCCGGGTCCCAAGTAAAAATGCGATTTTTTAGTACTGAAATCGACGGCTCTGGGTGGTCTCTCGTTTTCTGGATTTTTGACCAAAACCGAGCCTTCACCGGCTTCAGGATTTCAAGTCCCGCCCCTCTATGGGGGCCGATGAAATGGTTCGTGGGTAGGATGCTCCATGACAGAGGGAGGTTGGAGGACAGGCTGATGAGAAATGTAAACTTTTTATTTTCTTAATGTTTTGGGATTCTCTGGGTGGGTGGGTTTTTTTCCGTTGCCTACACACACTGCTGGCCTAGTAAATGCTCGAACTTGAGATGCTGAACCCTGAACCCTGAACCCTAAACCCTAAACCCTAAACCCTAAACCCTAAACCCTAAACCCTAAACCCTAAACCCTAAACCCTAAACCCTAAACCCTAAACCCTAAACCCTAACCATAAACCCTAAACCCTAAACCCTAAACCCTAAACCCTAAACCCTAAACCCTAAACCCTAAACCCTAAACCCTAAACCCTAAACCCCAAGCCAAGCTGAGACCCCAGCAGCTTTAGGTACCGAAGTGTGGTCGCAACCGTCAACAGCCACGACGAGGGAGCTCTAGAACGCCTCATTGGCCGCGATCTTAGGGTTTGAGGTTTAGGGTTTAGGGTTTGGGGTTCAGGGTTCAGGGTTTAGGGTTTAGGGTTTAGGGGCCAAAGATCTGGGGGCTGAACTTTAGGACTTTAAGGTTTTCGGCTTTAGGATTTCGGGGTCTAGGGTGTTTGGGTGTCGGGTCTGGGGCCCTAAGATGTCGGCCTGCAGTTTGGGCGCTAGGGTCTTTAGGGTTTAGGGTTTAGGGTTTAGGGTTTAGGGGTTTAGGGTTTAGGGTTTAGGGTTTAGGGTTTAGGGTTTAGGGGTTTAGGGGTTTAGGGGTTTAGGGGTTTAGGGTTTAGGCTGTCAGGGTTATAGCGGTTACAGGGCTTGAAGAGTGCTCAGTAGGGGGCGATCTTTGGGTTTGAAAGTTTAGAAAGAAGTTTAAGGGTGTTGCAAGCAGGCTTCACGTAGGGTTTAGGGTTTAGGGTTTAGGGTTTGGGGTTTAGGGTTTAGGGTTTAGGGTTAAGGTTTTTTCCAGGTTGACCTTTGTACTGTTCGCGTAGTGGCCAGGCTAGGGCAATTGGTTGCGATTGCTCTGGAGATCCGTGAGACCTCGAACTTACACCGCAACCCGAAACCCTACACCCAAGATTTTTAGGGGCTAGGGGTCGGTGGGTGGTTTATGATAGGCCTGAGATTGGGATTCGTTTCTGAGATCCTAGAATACCCGCCCGAACTTACCCACAAAAATCCAAACAAGAAGGGCTTACTTGAGGGTTATTTGGGCCTTATTTTGGTGTATAGCTCAAACAGCACGTTCTTTGGGACATCGGAACGTCAGCCTTCGGAATTCGGTAAAGCCACTGTGGCTTGTGAAGTTTCTTCGGGCTTGACTGTGTTCAGGGTTTAGGGCCTAGGTGAAGAAAAACCCGAAACCCTAAACCCTAAACCCTAAACCCTAAACCCTAAACCCTAAACCCTAAACCCTAAACCCTAAACCCTAAACCCTAAACCCTAAACCCTAGAAGACACACCATGGCACGAAACCTCCAGGTCGATGCATTCGACGAACAGCTATGTCAGGTTTACGAGAGCCCGATCTTCAACAGAATCCCAGGGTTTAGGGGTTAGGGTTTAGGGTTGTTTAGGGTTTAGGGTTTAGGGTTTAGGGCTTAGGGTTTAGGGTTTAGGGTTTAGGGTTTAGGGTTTAGGGTCCCAAACTTGTCTACCATGTTGATGCTCTAAAGCGTCGTCATAAATGTGTTAGGGCTAAGTCCATATTGATGGCATGTCAAGAACAGCGAAACAAGTTAAAACCTAACTCCCTAACCAATGAATCCCCAATAGACCCCTAAATCCCTAAGCTCTAATCCCTAAAGCCTCGAACCCTAAACCCTAAACCCTAAACCCTAAACCCTAAACCCGAAGCCCTGGAAACTCTGAACCCTCGAAAAACCCAAGCCCGAAGCCCGCCAAAGGCCACACCGAGAGACTCGACGTCGCACGGCAGCGGCAGCTTCTGCTGCAGGCGCGCGACCTCCATGGGGGTTTACGATAGTATAAGGGTTTAGGGTTTAGGGTTTAGGGTTCAGGGCATCAGGGATCCCAGATATGGGGGTTTACGACACTAGGGGTACCTTTTTGGCGACCTTATTTTACGGGAATCCTAATATGTGGGATCACCTATGTTCGTAAACCCCCATATACCCCCAAATAGCAGGATCCCCTTATAGAGGACCCCCAACAAGGTACCTCTAATCATCGTAACCCCCCCCCCCCCCCACATGAGCCACCGTCTGAGCCTCCCTGTATACAGTGGTTTGGGGGGTTATGTAGGTTTTAGGGTTTCAGGGTTTGGGGTTTCGGATTTAGGGTTTAGGGTCAGGAGGTTCACTTGTCTTCGGGGCGCAGGGTCGGGACCGGCACGGAGCTTCAAAGTTAGCACCCTAAAACCCTAAACCCTAAACCCTAAACCCTAAACCCGAAACCCTAAACCCCAAAAAGGCCCCCAAGGTTGTGACAACCGTGCCCCTGAAATCCTGCAAAGTTTGCCGGCCCCCCCAACAGAATCCTGAACACTCAACGCCCCCCCCCGCTTATGTTCCAGCCTCTTAACCCAAAGAACCCTATAAACGCCAACTGACCCTAAACCCTAAACCCTAAACCCTAAACCCTAAACCCTAAACCCTAAACCCTAAACCCTACACCCTGAACCCTAAAGCCTAAACCCTAAACCCCAAACCCTAAACCCTAAACCCTAAACCCGAAACCCTAAACCCGAAACCCGAAACCCGAAACCGCAGCGGGCAGCACGCTGTAACCCTTGAATCTTCAGGACGGCTTTGGACGCATCTTGGCCCTCCTGGCAGGACTGCTTGGGGAGTTTTTTTGGCAGGTTTAGGGTTTAAAGGGTAGAGGGTAGAGGGTTTAGGGTTTAGGGTTTAGGGTTTAGGGTTTAGGGTGTAATTCGGGCTTCGGCTTGAGGCTTAGGTTTCTGGGGGTGTAAGGGGCTCCCTTCGGTATAAGGGAGCGCAGTGCTGGGCCCCCTACCCTGAGCTTTAGAACCCTCATTTGCCCTCAGCCCTGCACTGCCATCAGCCCTAAGCTGCCGTCATCTCCCCTCCCCTTTCCCCACACCCAACAACCGAAAGACCCATTCTCCCCCTCAACCCTGAAAGCCTAAACTCTGCACTCCGTGAGAGGCCCTAAGCACCCCCAAACACCAAGACTTTGTCATAGTTGGGTGCCATCTTACATTTTTCAGGCTACTTAAACCAATAAGGAATAAGATTTTGGATCTTTTAAAATTATCCCAACCATGAACTCGAAGACCCCTGAACCCTAAACCCTAAACCCTAAACCCTAAACCCTAAACCCTAAACCCTAAACCCTAAACCCTAAACCCTAAACCCTAAACCCTAAACCCTAGATGCGAGGAATGGCCTTGCTGTCCGCCTTCGCCGCCTCCTTGGGCCATTGGCTCGACCGGCTTGCCTGGACTGCCCAGGGTCTTGGGGTTGGGGAACCCTAAACCCTGAACCCTAAACCCTAAACCCTAAACCCTAAACCCTGAACCCTGAACCCTAAACCCTAAACCCTAAACCCTAAACCCTAAACTTAGGGTTTATAGGCTTCGAGATCCAGGGATGAGGGCTCGCACCCCTAAGGTTGGTATCCCTGAAGGTTCCCCCTTGAACATACTCCGAACATGGTCCTTCTATTGCCCTAGGGATCCTTAAAAAGGGGGTCCCCTCAAACCCAAAGGGCCCAAGGCAGATTGATGCAGGGCTTATATTTCTATTCCTGGTGAGTGCATATAAGGTTCCTTTTCAAAATTGATGAGTGTATATATTGGGTGTCCTTTTGGGGATTACTGGTGAGTGTATATAAGGTTCCTTTTTAAAATTGATGAGTGTATATATTGGGTGTCCTTTTGGGGGGTACAAGAAATATAAGCCCTACTTCATAACCCCGAGAGAGTTGGAAAAACGTTCCTTCGACTCGGGGGGCCCTGTTTCGGTTCTCAATGTCGGTTTGTTTCGGTTTCGGGTTTCAGGGTTGAAGGGTTTAGGGGTTTAGGGTTTAAGGGTTTAGGGTTTAGGGCTTAGGGGTTTAGGGTTTCAGGTTTAGGGTTCAGGGGTTTAGGGTTTAGGGTTAGACCCTAGGCTTCCTTCCCTAGCGCGGCGCCCGGGCACCCATGGGGCGCCCAGGGAGTGAAGGTCGGCACCTCTCCGGGGCCTAGCTCGGAGGCTGAGGCCCCCAGGCCCTGGAGGTCCTCCGAAACCTGGAAGCTCTACTATTTGCTCAAGAAACCTCCCGAGAAATATAAAACAATAACCCCTCTATCGCCCTTGTACGGAACAGTATATATACATATATATATATATATATATACTTTTTTTTTTTTTTTAATGGGGGGGGGGGTTCTTAAGCAAATAGTAGAGCTGCGCAGGGTTGCCTGGATCGCCTTGGCGGTCTGCTTCCTCGGCGCCTCACCCCTCTTGCGGACGCCTCTGGGCGGCGTGGCGCAGAGGTGGGGGAGGATCTGTCAGGATTGCGTCCTTAACTACGAAGTGCTTCAGAGCCCCCCAAAAAAGTAAAACACATATTCCTTACAAGGGCATTCTTGGGGTCATTCTTGTATATTTTTTGGGGGTTCTTAAGCACATAGTAGGAAGCGATGGCAGACTTGCAGATTCAAGACAGAACCTACACCTTGAAACCCCAAAACCCTGCTAAAGCCATCACGAAAACCCTAAACCCTTCAGCTCAAGCCCGAGAAACCCACCATGGATCACAGACCATGAGCCACAGGGAGGGATCGGGCAAAACCTACCCCCATAACCCACCATGAAGCACGGGGGAGAAGGGGGGGGGGGGGGTGGGGCAGTAGCATGAGGGGGAGAGCGTGAAATTCTGACGCATATAGTTGACTTCGTAGTAGAGTAGGTAACCTTTAACCTTTTCAGGGTAATCTAATCCGAATCTAATCCCGAAGGTCAACTAAATAGACGCCCTAAAAAAGCCTAAAAAAGCCTGAGAGCCCTCGAGGCGCCCTATCGGTGCATCTTTGGGGCTGGAGGGGCCCTAGCCGTAGAAGCCCTAAGGCCAGGGTTTCGGGTTTCGGGTTTAGGGTTTCGGGTTTAGGGTTTCGGGTTTCGGGTTTCGGGTTTAGGGTTTCGGGTTTAGGGTTTAGGGTTTAGGGCTAGGGTCCCCTGCAGCCCGAAGCCGCAGGTACTGCGACCACGTGATGACCAAGGCGTTAGACGGCTGGATGAGGCAGGTGTGCCTGGAGGCACCTGATTCGGGGCGATTCAGGGCTTGGGCACTGAGCGTTTGGGGTTTAGGGTTTAGGGCTTGGGGCTGTTGCGGGTTTTTGTAGGACATGACGGTGGGCGGTTGGATCAAAAGTCGAATGGTGCATTCAGGATATTTCAAGCAGCGTTTTGGCCGTGACATAGTACCCTATTCACACTTATATGTAGGATGCCCAAAAGGGGTCTTCAGAGAACTGATCACCGGCCGACGATGTTGGATCCTGCATTTGTGTGGGAATGCCGGGGGATCGCAGCATTCATCACTTCGTCTATTGTGGGTTTAGGGTTTTGGGTTTAGGGTTTAGGGGTTAAGGGGTTTAGGGATTTAGGGCTTGTGGATGCGGATGAAGTTTGCAGTTGCGTTGTCGCTCGAAGGTACGAAGGGGTGACTCGATATCACTCTCTGCAAGGCTTCCCTCAAGGACGGATGGTTTCTTGTTGGCGTCCTGGCACGGAGTAAGTAAGTCTCCTGAGACGAGATCTGAGATCACGGTAGAGGCACAGCCCGAAGAAGGCAGCCCCGAACACCAAGAAGCTACTGAGAATAGCTGGATGTGGCACTTCTGCTTTTGTGCAGAGTTTAGGCTTTAGGCCTAGGGCCGTCTCAGGTTGGGAAGTTTCCCCCTTGTAAGGAGCTTTACATAATACTCGTTATTTTTCCGGGCCCCTTAAAGCAGAAGCTGCCAACCTGAAGCTGTGCAGAAGGGGCCCAGGCCCACATGTACAGCAAGCAAACATGGTGAGGGCATGCTTCCTCCCAACAGTTAAAGTATCTCGGCGCAACAAGCCGAAGAGGGCCGCCGCAACCCCAGCACTCCTGAAGGGGGGTTGGCTATCCCGTCAGGAGGGGCGCCATGCCCCCGAAACCTCCGCAGCCAACCCTCAAACCAAAGTCCTGTAAAGCAAGGCCCCGAACCCAGACCTTTGGAAGGATGACCCCCAATAGTACCCTATACTACTATTGGGTCATTTGTGGGAACCCTTTAAGGGGATCTACTTTCTGGATTCTCCCGGAACCCCTTTCAAAGCTCCAATGCCCGACCTGCAGTTGAACCCGCCAGGCCTCAGCGCAAACCTTGGCCGGAGCGGTAGCGTCAGGCCAGGATTTAGGCTTTAGGGTTCAGGGTTTAGGGTTGGGGTGTTCCCCCCATATACCAACAGTCCTTCATCTGGACTATAGTACCCTCTATTTTAGTCCCCATGAAGGACTGCTAGTACTAAGGGGGAGCATCCCAAGACATGGGTGACTAGAAGTGGTTGTGCGAGCGGATCGCTACAGTGTATACTCCTGGTTCTGAGATGTCGGGCGCAAGGTATGGGGCGCCACTGTGTAGACCCTGAAACTTCGGATCCTCTTAACTTCACCTCCTGGAGTTAACATCTGAGAAGCATGCCGGTAGACATCAAGGAAGATATTTGTACTCATGACAATCAGATACTTGAGCTTCAGCGCCAGGGGCCAGAACTCATGACAATCAGATACTTGAGCTTCAGCGCCAGGGGCCAGAAACATTCCGCGAGCAGTACGGGGTCGTTTGCATAGCAAAACAGGATCTTCTGTGTTGCTGGTTTATGATTATGATTGCATTGTTGCTTTGAGGTCCTGGTGGTATGTATGTAGGTGCATGTCGTATACATATGCATATATACATCACCTGTTTCTGGGTACATGTATGATGACGCAAGCCTTCTACGCGTCTTTACCGTCGTCTTCGCGAAGCGACCTGGTTGACACGAAGAAAAGCGCAAACGCAGCAGTGTTCTCACGCCTTGCAAACATCACCAACCGGCAAACTTTGGTTAGTGTCACTGTTCGTCTTCGTCTTCGTCTTCGTCTTCGTCTTCGTCTTCGTCCTCGTCTTCGTCTTCGTCTTCGTCTTCGTCTTCGTCGTCGTCTTCGTCTTTGTCTTAATCGTAGTCGTAGTCTTAGGCTCAGCTTTGGTAGTCGTATAGTATAGTATGAGTTTTTGTATTCGTGTTCGTACTAGTACTAGTAGTAGAATTCGGATTAGCATGTTGCTAGTACTGGTACTAGTCCTGATCCTGGGACTAGTCCTGGTACTAGTACCAGTATGAGTATTCCTATTTGTATTAAGATTACTGTTAGTGTGATCGGGTTAACCTGTGTTACTACTCCTCCTCCTCCTACTACTACTACTACTACTACTACCACCACTACTACTACTACAACTACAACTACAACTACTACTACTACTACTACTACTACTACTACTACTACTACTACTACTACTACTACGACTACTCGTAGTGAACCCACACTCCCGCGCTTTGCCAGTGTTGGGTGCCTTGAGCTATCCGCTCCTGACCCGGCAGCTGAAGTGGCTGCTTTCGCCCACGGCCCCGGCTTTGTTGATGTTGAGGTTCAGGAGGTTTAGAGTAGTACAAGAGTTTGGGAATCACACTTTGGGTGACCATGTTCTATCTTTGAAAGGATTTGTTGTAGACAGCGCCGAAACATCAGGCATCATGACTTTTGAGCTTTCACCACAGTGGGCGATGTGCTGCGTCCACATTGGAACTTAGCATATTCTGATGCGATTCGAGCCGCAGATGTGTGATTCTATCCAATAACGTCCGCACTGGGGTGATGTGTATTCTGGCGGACTGAGGCCAGTTGAAATCACTCCTCGTACCCAGGTACCCAAAGCACACCTGATAACTAAATCCCCCCCCCGGATTCGTTATGATAGTTTCGTTGCTCAGGTGTTGCACTAAGGCCTACGGTTCTGAGCCCTGAACTCCTGTTCTTGTCGGGGTGTGGGGGTGTGCCCTCAAAGGAATTCTCCGAAGTATAGGCGCAGTATGTGTAAAAGTGTAAAAGGATGTGGGCTGCGAGGGAAGTTGATGGAACTTTGAGGGATTCAAGGGACGGGAAAGGTTTCTGAAGATCGCCCGAGGCTTCTGCCACTCCCTGCGCAGCTACATCGGTCTTTTGTGCTGATGCTGCTGGTGCTGCTGGCAGCATGCCTGATGCTTCTCCAGGAGGTTCCTGTCCCTGCACCCTAAGCCGTAAACCAGACGGGGGGTACAGATAGTTGGCAGATGAGCCAAAGCAATGCAGAGAGAAAGAGAGAGAGAGAGAGAGAGAGAGAGAGAGAGAGAGAGAGAGAGAGAGAGAGAAAGAGAGAGAGGGAGATGGCCGGGGATCACCCTCCTGGGGGTTCCTCTTCTCTGTGTAGAAAAAGATGAAGAAGAAGCAGAAGAAGAGAGAGCAGGGCTTGAGACCCTACTTGAAACCTCATTTCGTGCGGGGGTCATATGCGTATCGGCCCTCACACCTCATGCTCCATGAAGCTATTGGCTGGAGTGCAGGGTGTTGAAAGGGTTTAGGGTTAAGGGTTCAGGGTTTAGGGTCTAGGAGTCTGTTACAAGCGAAATCTGCGTTCACCCTCCTCCGAGTGGACAGGCTGTAAACGAGCTGGCTTTCGGCGATCGAGGCAGTTTGCTGCCTGGAGCCCAGTGAACAGTGGAAACCCTGAACCACCAAGACACATGGTTGACCTTCAAGGTGGAACATGTCTAAAGTCTTAAAACCCTCAAGCCTTAAAGCCCTTAATCCATAATCTTAAGCCTCAACTCCTTGTTTTCTAAACCCTAGCCTTTGCCACAAGACTTTCTTTATGGGTGGGATTATACGAGGTCGAAAAATGGGGCTTGAACCCTAAACCCGAAACGCTAGACCCCAAACCCTAAAGCCTAAGCCCGAAACCCAGGGAACCCTCATTTCGTGAGCCCTAAACGCAGGGAACCCCGTCATTTCGTGAACCACGATAGTATAGTAACGAGGACCCGCGAAGGGATCTTCAACCCGAACCCCACCCTAATCCGGAGTTGAAACCCTAGACCCCAAGCCCTTTGTCGTAAGGGTTTAGGGTTTAGGGTTTGGGGTTTAGGGTTTAGGGTTTAGGGTTTCGGGTAACTCCGAACTTGAGAAGCCCTAAACCCGAAGGCCCGAAGCTGCCGTGTTTGCCCGCCGCAGGTTCGCTTCGGGTGCCGGGAGCCTTATCCTGGCGGTCATCGTCCATGGCGCGGCGCTGATGCAGCAGGTGGGGGTTGGGCTCAGGGTTTAGGGTTCAGGGTTTAGGGTTTAGGGTTTAGGGCTAAGGGTTTAGGGTTTAGGGGTTAGGCTGGGTTCGGGGTTTCGGGTAATACAGGGGAATCGGAATAGTTTCTAATCGTATTCCCGTTTAGTCACTATAGTCCCATTGCAATTATGCTAGAAGAACCCCCCACAACCCCATTCTACTTATTAAGTCCCCTATATCAGAGAATGGGACCCCGAACTCCCTGTCAGGGTCATAAGCGGACGCAAGAGGAGGGTTGAGGGTTTGTTGCTTTGAGTTTTGAGCCTTCAGAGAGTTAAGGTTTCGGGAGTTTAAAGTGGTTTGGGAGCCAGAAGCAAGTGCCCAGCTGACTGGCCAGAGTCCCCTTTTGAAGTCCTTTGTCGAGAAAACGCCTCGGCATGAGATCTGAATTATGGTTCCTCTTTGGGTGCCCTGAACACATTGCGCCCCGACAATGGTTCCCGAGTAGGCGCCATAGCTTATTACCGTCGATATTTTGTTTGACAGGGTTTGTTGCTGAAGTTGCAAGCCAGATCTACCCTAGTTGCTTGAAGCATGCTAACTTGCTGCAAGTCACAGCACAGCTTGACGCATGACCGGGTATGTCTGCGGTTTACCAGCAGTCAACGTAAACCACCAAGCATGGCTCATGCAGTCCCGGGATGTTCTCAAGCACCCTTGGCCTCAAACCTTGCGCGCAACAACAAAGAAGCTGGACGGGGAGCTGAAAGGCAGAGGCGATGCGAAATCTTGGCAAGGATGATTCCGCTGACCCCATTCCCCCCCTCCCCCCCCGCTCCAAGGTATTTTGGAGTTTAGGGTTAGAGAGTTTATAAGGCTCCATACGTATCGATCGAGACACATGGTTCCCTAAACTCTAAACCCCGGGCCGCTAACTCTGAGTCTCTCCCCTAAGTCTCCAGTCCTCAGGCCCTTGAGGCGGCACGCCCACGTTTGGGCGGTGTACAGCTTTCGGGGGTAGGGGGGGGTGTGGTTAGGGGTTTTGGTGGGGGGGGGTTGGAGCTTTAGGCGGCTTAGGAGTTCAGTCGCATGGGGTGGGGGATCGATGAAGGTCCTCCAGAACCACGCCTACACGGCTGCAGGCGATCGCGGCCGCGTCGGAAACCTAGCGCAGACTGTTGCGGTTTAGGGTTGAAGCTTTGGAGAAGCGAAAACTGGTCCTGGGGCCTGAGGCTTTAGGGTTCAGGGGCCACCGGCCTTGGGCTTTAGGATTTAGGGGCTGCTGGGGCGTGGGCTTTAGGGTTTAGGGCCTAGCACTGGCCTTGACTTAGGAGGGCTGCTGGGGACTTGGGATTTCGCATTTAGGGCCTTGTAAGGGTTTAGGGGGGCAGTGGCCTGGGGCTTTCGGGTTTCGGTGGCACTGGCCTTGGGCTTTAGGAGGCCACTAGCCTTGGGCTTTAGGATTTAGGGGCTACCGGGGGCTGCCTTGATCTTTAGGATTTAGGGGCTACTGGGGCTTGGGCTTTAGGGCTTAGGGCGGAGCACTGGCGTTGACTTTAGGATTTATTGGCTACTGGGCTTGGGCTCTAGGATTTCGGGCCTAGTCGGCCTTGGGCTTTAGGGTTTAGGGGCCACTGCCCAAGGATTTAGGGGTTACGGGGGCTTGGGCTTTAGGGTTAGGGCCCATTTGGCCTTTGGGCTACAGGGGCCTTGGGCTTTAGGATTTTGTTTAGGGGTAATATGTTCGGATGTGGTGGGATTAGTTGGGCTTGTGGGTGTTGGTCGAGAGAATTGCTGGACCAGACTCTTCACGCTCAGAGCTGCTGAGCCCTAAACCCGAAACCCGAAACCCTAAACCCTAAACCCTAAAGCCAAAAAACGGACCTGGCTTTGGGGCCACCCGAGGCGCTTCATTTCTACATCGCGGAACGAGATGCCAAGGTTGCGGAACTGGAGGCCGCTGATGTTTGGGGTTTAGGGTTCAGGGTTTAGGGTTTAGGGCTTCGGCCGGGTTTAGGGTTGAGGGCTTAGGCCGGGTTTAGGGTTTAGGGTTTTGGCCAGGTTTAGGGTTTAGGGGTTTGCGCGTAGGTTCTTCTACGTTGGTAATCTGTGGTTCCTTCAGGATCTTCAGTCTAAGCTTTGCGCATCTCATCAGTGTTACGAGTTCGGTGCCTGAGCGAAGAACTTTTTGAATTCCCAAGCATGGACAATAATTGCTGCGATTGTACTACAGTGCGACAAAAAACGGGGACAGGAAGAAATAAAATCCTGTCATGCGTGAACGAGCTGTTCTTGGTTCATGTGTGGTTTGAAGGTATCTTTTCGCAGCTGCTATTTTTTTGGGGAAGGCTTGATGTTCTTGGAGGTCAGCTTCTGTCAAGTTTATCAACTTGCGGCGAAGAACTGGTCCCATAACCATTAACTCACACATGCCCAGTCGGGGCGCTTTCAGATGGCATGTGCTGCAGCCGGGATTTCAACAGCAGCAAATCTTGTCATACTAGTGATCTTGTTTTTCTTCCAAGAAGCTTGCCAACCCCCAGCAATAGTCAAAGGAAGCAAAAACAGAAACAACAACGAATTAACAAGACGCATCGTGAACACCAACTAAATCCTAATAAACGGCCACTGCCCGAACTTCCAAACGCCACATCACAAAGGCTTAGGGGTTTAAGGGGGTAAACCCCCTAAATCCCTAAACCCCTAAACCCCTAAATCCCTAAACCCCTAAACCCCTAAACCCGTAAACGCCTAAACCCCTAAACCCCTAAACCCCTAAACCCCTAAACCCCTAAACCCCTAAACCCCTAAACCCCTAAACCCCTAAACACCTAAACCCCTAAACCCCTAAACCCCTAAACCCCTAAACCCCTAAACCCCTAAACCCCTAAACCCCTAAACCCCTAACCCCCTAAACCCCTAATCCCCTAAACCCCTAAACCCCTAAACCCCTAAACCCCTAAACCCCTAAACCCCTAAACCCCTAAACCCCTAAACCCCTAAACCCCTAAACCCCTAAACCCCTAAACCCCTAAACCCCTAAACCCCTAAACCTCCGAACCCCGAATCCCCGAAAACCCTAAACCCTCTGGTGCTCAAGCACTCAGGAGACAAAAGAGTGGAGGCAACACTACAGCAGGGGCCTTGCAGGGTCTTATGATTCGAGGGGCTTATACAGGGGTATTTGTGTGTTTTTCAAACTTAGTTTTTTGTTTTTTTGGGGTAGTTGACGGGCTTGTTTAGGGGTATGTGAGTGTTTGTTTATGGCGTTTTTGGGGTATGTGGCTTAGGTCAGTCTTTTGGAGTTTCCAGGTTCTACGGAGTATATAGGTTTGGGGTTTGTTTTTGGCATGGGTATTTGGTGCATAGAGGATTTTGTATTTAAGGCTTTGTGGGGTATGTACGGTTTGTAGGGATATAGGGCTTGTTGGGGCTTCATGGCTTGTAGGGGTTCGAGGGGTTGCAGGTCTTGTAGGCAGGATGGTTGGGGTATGTACGGTTTGTAGGGATATAGGGCTTGTTGGGGCTTCATGGCTTGTAGGGGTTCGAGGGGTTGCAGGTCTTGTAGGAAGGATGGTTTAGTTGCTGATCCTAGACCCTGAACCCTGAACCCTAAGCCCTAAAACCTACGCCCTAAAGAGCGGCTTGCCAAGGGCTCCACAGCGCAACCGACTGCTTCTGGCGCTTCCGCCGCGGACCGACCTGGCAACAAAGCGTGCAGCTGGCGCAGGCTTTTTGGGGTGTCCGGCTTTGAAGCTCACTTCGTGCTCTCTATGTCAAAAGGTAGCAAGCATCAGTAAGGCAGTTCCCAGCTCCTAAAGGCTGATTAAGCCCTACAAGCCCAGCAAGGCCTGAAAGCCCTTCTTTATCCTAAACCCTAAACCCTAAAGCCTCAACCCTCAACCCTCAACCCTCAACCCTCAACCCTCAACCCTCAACCCTAAACCCTCAACCCTCAACCCCCAACCCTCAACCCTCAACCCTCAACCCTCAACCCTCAACCCTCAGCCCTCAACCCTCAACTCTCAACCCTCAACCCTCAACCCTCAACCCTCAACCCTCAACCCTCAACCCTCAACCGTCAACCCTCAACCCTCAACCCTCAACCCTCAACCCTCAACCCTCAACCCTCAACCCTCAACCCTCAACCCTAAACCCTAAACCCTAAACCCTAAACCCTAAACCCTAGACCCTAAACCCTAAACCCTAAACCCTAACGCAACCCCAAACTGCAGGCCTCCGGGCTCCTTGTTTGGGCCTGGCTTACCTTCCCGCGCTGGGACGCCCTCTTTGCTGCAGGCTCTGGGGACGTGGGCTTTGGGGGAGCATCCCGGAGCCCCTGACACCTGAACCTGCCTGGGTTTAGGGTTTAGGGTTTAGGGTTTAGGGTTTAGGGCTTAGGGTTTAGGGTTTAGGGTTTAGGGCTTAGGGCTTAGGGCTCAGGGTTTAGGGTTTAGGGTTTGGGGTCTAGGGTCTAGGCTCTAGGGTTTTGCGTTCTCGGGTCCAGTATCATGGGCTTAGGCGCACAAGCTCCAGTAGGAATCAGGGCTGAGGGTCCCCTTGGATCTAGAAAGCAAATCCGCCTTCAAAAGGGATTCTGTAAAATTGCCCAAATATACGGAATGGTGGGTTCTTCTATCACCTACGACTCCAACCATAAATCCAAATCGGTTTCCTCTTACCGGCACTGCACCTTTTTCGTAACGGAAACCCCCCTGAGAAGAAACCCAACAAAAAGCTAGCAAAGGCACCGTGAGTTAGAACCACCACCCCCCCCCCCCCCTCCTCCTTCTTGCGTCGAGGCTCCGCTGGCAACGCGATGCATTTGTCCCTGGCTCGTTCGCCTTCGACGTGGGTTTCGGGTTTAGGGCTGTTGGCTTCACTGGGTTTGGGGCGTGCGGCGGCTTCGGAGGGTTTAGGGTTTAGCGTTTAGGGAGGGTGTAGGGTCAGTCCTAAGTGGAGCGAGGATCACAAGCACCCATTCTGGCATCGCGCCTCCCGTGCGCTAAACCCTGAACCGCCCAACTTGCAGGTGCGAACTCAAGCCCTGTACCCCAAGCCGAAAGCTCCCAGAGGAAGCGCTAGGAGACAGGCTTTCAAAGTAAGCGTGAAGATGCCCCTAATCCCTAAGCCCTAAACCCTAAACCCTAAACCCTAAACCCTCAACCCTAAACCCTAAACCCTAAACCCGAAACCCTAAACCCCAGGGGTATTTGGGGTTTAGGCATCTTCCAGGTTGCACCTCCTGGCCCGCTGGCTCCGCCGGCGCTGGCGGGGCGCAGGCGGCGGGTTCGGTGTTTTAGGGCTTATGGGGTTCAAGGGGTTTAGGGTTTAGGGTTTAGGGGCTTATGGGGTTCAAGGGGTTTCGGGGTTTTAGGGTTTGGGGTTTTGGAGTTTAGGGCTTATGGGGTTCTAGGGGTCTTGAGGTTTGGGGCTTTTCGGTCTTTGGGTGTTGGGATTCAGGGTTTGGGGGTTGTTTGGAGGTTTGGGGGTTTCGGGGGTTTGGAGCTTTTGGGCGTGGGGTTTGGGGGGCTGGGGGCACGAAGTCATCCTAGCGGTTCTGGGGGCACGAAGTCATCCTAGCGGTTCAGGACTGGGAGCACGGGCTGGGACTTGAAACTCCGGGTTTGTGACGATTTCCGTGGTTCAGCATTTGGGGGTTATCCCAAACACCCAAGCGCTGAACACCCTAAACCATTACCTGGGGTTCAGGGTGACGAAGCCCGAAGGTTTCGGGGTTTAGGGTTTAGGGTTCAGGGTTCGGGGTTCAGGGTTCAGGTCAGGGTTTCGGGCCCCCGGACCTGCTGAGCAGGCGAGGACGAGGTCAGCAAGTGGCTCTCGGGCCTGGAGGAGGAGCAGGAGGTCGGATGCCTCGCCTGTGCAGATGCGCAGCCTTCATTCTTCCCCAAAAAACAGTTAGCAGACCGTTTAGGGTTTAGGGTTTGGGGTTTCGGGTTTAGGGTTAGGGTTTAGGGTTGAAATCTACTAGGTTTGGTGGTTTGAAAGGCTGTACTCAAAATATACTCATAGTGCACTGCCTCTCTAAAGGAACAATCCTCCATATGGATGAGGTACTCGGTTATTCCTATACTTCTATTAGTCATGGGGAAGTAGTGGTGATATAGTTGGTGAGATGTAGCGGGGAGTATAGGAATAACCTTCTGATGGGCTGACCTTTGGTATTATTGCACAACGGGCAAGGGTTCCGCTAGCCAAGGGGTAGGCCCTTGGGACGTTTCATGTTTATCCTTATGGGGTTAAGAGGATCATATTTAGGAATATTGATGACAAAGGGTTCAGGGCCAACCTAGACAAAAGCCAATGCACAAAGAGCAACAATCTCAAGACGCGCGCCGACGTATCAAGGGTAACCTCTGACCATCCTGAAGAATCACTTCGAAAATTTGTCCGTCGGTTTTTATTCATAATTATGGGGGGAGGGGGGGGGGGGGGGGGCGGGAGTAGGTTCGAGTCCTGAAAGACGTCGAAGAGGGGCTTAGAAACCTTGCGAGCCTTGTGGCCTTGGTAGCTACATGGTCAGTGAATATGGGCCCTTAATTGGCGAACTAATATACCCCTGTATGGTCAGTGCTCTCAATTGTGTACCCTAAATAAGAGGAGCCGCCTTATAATAAGGACCCCAAAAGGGCCATATTTTGGAGGAGTGACCCTATACCCTGTACATTTGGGGCTACGGGAGACTCGCCCTTTCTGCGAGCTTGTGAGGACAGCGACGCCGAGCCACAGGCCGGTTTTAGAGCGGGAAACGGCGGAGCTGTGTGGCGATTTAGGGTTAAGGGTTTGGGGTTTAGGGTTTAGGGTTTGGGGTTTGGGGTTTAGGGCTTAGGGATTCGGATTTTTACACCTGAACCCCACAAGTCATCTCCTGTGGGCCTATGGTACACCTGGTACGTCCTGGAAGCCTCCGAAACCTATCCAAGCTGCAAACGTTGAAGGGCCAGAGCCGAAACAAAAAAAACACCCTAAGCCTCAAAAGAATCAGGGTTCAAGGGGTTTGCAGGATTTAGGGGGTTTAGGGGGCTCGGGGAGTTCAGGGGGTTTAGGTCTCCAGGTTCAGTGAGGGTCGAGGGCAGGGAGTTCTTCAGGGTTTAGGGTTTAGGGTTAAGGAGGGTGACGTTCGGGTTTAGGATTTACGGGGATAAGGGCTTTTGTTGATCCCTAAGCCCTACGAGCCCCTGGGAGCCTCTTGGCTATTGGTTCCTGGTTCACGGCCAATGTTGGAGCATTAAATGCCATTCAATATTTCAAGGTTGTGACCCAGCAAGCCCCAACTGTCAAGGGTCAGGTTCTTGAAACAGAAGCTGTCGACGGACAGGTTGCAAACGGAACAGCAGGTTCCCACGGCCTTTTTTTGAGGGGAGGAGGCCCTACACCCTCAGCCTCAAACCCTCAACACGGGGACGTTCCCCCTTATACTAACAGTCCTTAACGGGGTTATAATACCCTTATTCTACTCCCGATTAAGGGCTGTTCCCAACCTCCACACGAAACCGAGGCGGCCGCAAAGGAAGAGTTGGTGCCCCAGCTCCGGCGTTTGGGATCCATCGCCTGAGCTCCGGCTCCTAGGAAACCCCGGTTGGTGCCATGTTTGGGCTCTGGGCCCCTTCATCAAGCACTCAAGTGGCAATCTTATCCCTCAACCTTCTAAACCCTAACTCCCAAACCTTGAACCCCAAACCCCTCATACTACAACTTGCCCGCTAATCCCCCCCCCCACCCTGCACAACCCCCAAACTCGAAAACCCCTCAATCATCTTAGCAGTAGAGCAGGTAGCCTTTAACCTTTTTTAGGGTAATAGAATCCCCTTGTAATCCCAAAGGTTAACAACCTTTAGTTCCCCTTGCTACTGGACAACTAAGCCATGCCATAACCCGCACGTTGCCAAGGGCAGAACCGGTGGCTCCACCTGTCATCCCAGAGACTTTTGAAGAGGCCTGGGCTGATGTGCTAGGGTTTAGGGTTTAGGGTTTGGGGTTTGGGGTTTGGGGTTTGGGGTTTGGGGTTTGGGGTTTGGGGTTCAGTTGGTATGGTCTATATTCGGGGTCCCTTATGTTCGCGAACCCCATAGGCTAGGGTTAAATTTGCTATTGCTGCTGAGTGTATACAGGGTTGCTCATAAATCTGGGTGCGTGTATGTACCTGAATTCCGTTTGAGGATGCTAGGATTAAGAACCCTACCTCACATGGGCTGGGAGAAGTCGCGTTGTGGGGATAGGGTTTTAGGGTTTAGGGTTTAGGGATAGGGTTTGTGGTTGATGGTTCAGCGTCCTTTGTTCCGGAAGGTCTCTGCCCCAGCAAGGCTTAGGAAGGGGGCCTCGTGGGGGAGGTTGGGCGTTGGCTGCTGCCTTTCTTGGACCTGAATCTTCGTCTCTTCAGGGTGCTTGCAGCATCCGTGTGCAGGTTCTTCAGCTTTAGCTGTAGCTGGAGGGTAATTCGGAACCTGGAGATTTGAAGGACGTGAGTCCTGCAGTCCTCGACCTGTTCCAAGGTTTTGGGCCTTTGGGTTCAGCGCTTCGGGATAAATCTGAGATCCTTCCCGAGACCCCATTCGTCCAGGCACGTGCCGCGCTACTAAACTAAACCCCAAACCCTAAACCCTGAACACTAAACCCTAAACCCTAGACCCTAAACCCAAAGCCCTAAACCCCAAACCCTAAACCCCAAACCCCAAACCCTAAACCCTAAACACTAAACCCTAAACCCTAAACCCTAAACCCTAAACCCTAAACCCTAAACCCTAAACCCTAAACCCTAAACCCTAAACCCTAAACCCTAAACCAACCCTAAACCCGAAGCCCTCCCTTACACCCAACAGGTTCAACTCCGCATGGAAATCGAGCAGATGCGGCAGGAGCAGGACGCTGCGCTTCCCCGCTCAAGGGGGTAAGTGTAGCAGGCTCAGCATGATCCCCATGGGACCGATGATTCCCTAAACTCATATAGGGTTTAGGGTTTCGGGTTTAGGGTTTAGGGTTTAGGGTTTAGGGTTTAGGGTTTGCCTGAACATGCCACCAGGAGCGGGCAGCTCAGGCGCGCTTTCGCCTCACAACGAAGACGCCCAGCCGCCAGGCGACGGAGTGCCAGAGAGATGGCTTCATCGCCCTAGTGAAGCTCGTGAAGCCTTTGCTGAACATGTGTGGGTCATGGCTGCTGTAGATCGCAGGTTCATCGCATCAAGTTCGATGCCTCCCTTGAAGCCCTTTTGGCTGTGCCAGGTGACAATACACTTCGATAATATTCAGTACAGATTGTTTCCGCCCAGCCATGCCAACTCCGAGCGGCTTAGATGGCAAGCTGGTGAGCGTGAATTTGCACAGCAGCCCAGTGAAAGTCACGGAAGTTGAGCTGCCCGATCGCCTGGAGCACTTAGTGGCGGAGCACTTCAAGCGCCTGCAGCAGGAGCTCCAGCAGGACTACGGGGATCTCCGTCTGCGCCTGGAGGCCGTGGAGAGGCACCTTGAGCCGGAGACTTCGCGGCAGGCCAGCGCCGCTTCGCTCGAGAGCTCCCGGAATGCGAACAATGCAAACATGCAGAACAACGAGGACCCGAGCCCCTCGAATCCGTCAACTGTCGAGGTCAAGGCGGAGGTTGACGAGAAGGTGGAGAAGGTGGAGAAGGTGGAGAAGGAGGTTGAGGAGATCACGGAGGTCTGCTTCGAGGAGAGCATCTGGACTGTGCCCATGATGCTGGGCCTCAGAGAGCCCAGCTTTGGCTGGTTCGACTCCATCTTTGCAGCCACCCTGGTGTTGCTGAACCTGGCCATGCAAGCCTCCTTCTCGGCCATTCTGCTGACCCGCGCCTTCATGGGTGACGACTTCGAAACCAAGATTCGGGGTGCGGAGGTGTGGCGCACCAGTGTGGCCCACGACTTCAAGCACCTGGACTTGGCAGACACCAGCTTGGTGTCGCGAGTTTGCCTAGGCGATGAAGCCTTGATCCTCTCCACGACTCAGGCGACCTTGATTGATCACATCAATAGCTTTCTAGGCATGGACAAGGAGGACTTCCAGCAGTCAGCCTTCCAACCGGGCATTCTGCTGTGCATGCTTTGCATCGTCTTGTGGACGCTGTGCGTGTACAAGGACAGGTGTTCCAAGGTTTCAGCCTGGGAACTCTGCGAGTTGGGCCTTGGGGGGTTTAGGGTTTAGGGTTTCGGGTTTAGGGTTTAGGGTTTAGGGCTAGGGTTTAGGGTTTAGGGTTTATTTGAAAAGTCATTTCGGGGGCCCTGTCACCATCGCCAGCTCAGTCCTTACATTATGCCGTCACGGTAGTTGATGCCTCAACCAGTCGTGTTCCTGCAGCATCAGCAGCTAGCAATTGCAGATGAATGAAAAGTCTGCATTCTGGGAGGAGTTTCGGTTGATATGGGTCCAGATGGAGATCACCTTGTCCATTCCGATGTCGCGCAGGACGCGCCCATGTCTTAAAGACGAACCTCGAAGTCCGAGCTCTAGAAACAGTAATGCGCGGGCAACAGCCAGAATCTAATGCTTTAAGGCCTCAAGGGCACAAAGTTGGTTAAGATTACCATTTAGGTTTCAGGGATTCTTCACGGAGGACCTCGTATTACAGAAACAGATTTCGCAGCTTGTCTCGGGCGCGGCGGGCACTTCTCCTTGTCATGTACCTTGTGGCTTGTCTCCGGTCGAAGGGCTTTCCTTGAAGCTTCAAATCTTAGAGTTCCAGAGGCACCATAGCTCTTGAACATCAAGAGAAGTCAAGGCACGGGCCAGCATTGCCGGCATCTTGCTGGTAGCCGGTATCCTATGGCTAGCTCGCACCACATCCATCCAAGAGCTGATGCTGAATGCCGTCGCTCTGAATCTCAGGAAGCGAGAGTAAGTCACTTCTTGCTATCTTTGGCGGTAGAACAACACCCCCTGTTGTAATCCCAGAGGCACCTAGGAGACTGGACAAAGTAAGGAACTCCATCCTGGACGTTGATGAGTTCCTTTTCATTGGCATGACACCCGCCAAGATGCAGGAGGCTATGCGGAAGCTGAGGCCGATGCGGGTGGACTATAGCCATGTCCGGAGCCAACGGGAGTCAGTGTTTCATTTCGTTACTCTCATGTCGGTAGTGTGTATATCCTACCTTCTGCTTCTAGTGCCTCTGCAGCAAGCGATGCTGACAGTGAAGAGGGAGATGTGCTACGGCAACCAGACCTTCGTGGTCTCGCACAATACGGATACGCAAAGGACCATTGGTCTGGTTACCGTGGAATCCAGGGATCTGGGCAATGACTCCATCAGTGACTTGGTGACCCAGAGGTGCCCTTTTCCTTTTTTTGTTTTTAACTGGGTTCCCTGAAAAAGCAACCAACCAAAAAAAAGGGTGCCCTTATTATGAGATGGTTACTGGGGCTACTAAGGTGAAGTCGCGGTGCAAGCACACAAGGGGACGTCGCCTGATACGACGCCGGGCTCTTTCTCCACCTACATCGCCTTCGCACCCGACATCGATGCGTTTCTTACTGTTGGTTAGTAGGGAATGAGAGAATGAGGTGCCCTATATAATCCCTTAAAGGGTATACATAGGGGGATATAGGGTAGCCTGCTAACCTACCTAACCCCTGATAGGTTATAATTTGGGGGATATAGGGTAGCCCTACTATCCCAACAGCAAGGTTTCAGGAGCGGAGGTCGCGCACGATGAGGGAGGAGGCTACCACGTATCCCTTCTGCGTGGAAGCCCGTCTGCTGAACAGCAGCGGCGACATGTATCTAGATATCGATTTAGGGTTTAGGGTTTAGGGTTGGGGGTTTGGGGCTTAGGGGTTAGGGTTTAGGGGAAGTTAACATGATCTCCCTTATTGTTTAATATGGAGCCCTCATTTTAGATAATTTTTTGGGGGTTGTTGAAATCGACACCTAGTAGCTAGGTAGGCCCTTGGGACACCTTCCATTTTCCCTTATTTGGGTTTAAGAGGATCCGATTCAGGAATACTTTTCAGAGGGCTCCAAGGGCCATCCTAGGTATGGAGATCCCTCGATGCAGCCCCTGGCTACTCAGCTGATAAACACTGCGGCAGCCACTGTCGGGCTGCAGGGAGCGCCTTGGTAGCCCAGTGGTACCCTTTACCCCTCTTTTTTGGTTATGGCTTCCCTTATAAAAATAGCCAACCCCCAAAAAGGTGCCCTTTATCATAGTGTGGTTAGTGGGCTACCAAGGCATCCTCCTGCCAGGAGATGAAGGGAAGCTGCCATCGGCTCAATGCGCGCTTGTTGCGCCTGGTGTGTGGCGAGCTTGCCCTGTAGTGCTCTTTTTGTTCCTGCTGGCTTTTTGTTTTATAAAGGTTTCGATATAGGTCGCTTGCACAAAAAGGGGTTGAGGGTATCTGGGATAATGTTCACCCATAAGCCTGAACAATTTCCTCCACTGTCCCTTTATAGCCCCTACATACGAGACAAACTACCCCAAGGTTTAATAAGAGCCTCCGACAAAAAGCCGCCCGACCCCGCAGGAGCAAACAAGTTCCGTTCAGGCAATGCAGACCCAGAAATGTGTTGCGGGATCCCGGGGCTGGTTTCTCGAAATTCTCTCCGAGTCCCAGGGTTAGGCTTATTTAGAGGTCTGCGGGAAGGTCTTTCAGGGTCCCAAGAAGCGGGGGTCCAGGGCTCGTCATCGGTCGGTCTCTAGGGGTCCAGAGGGTTGCTAGACATCCAACACGCCCGAGAGGGTCGGCGGATGCAATTCTCGCGTTTAAACCCTCTAAACCCTCTAAACCCTCTAAACCCTCTAAACCCTCTAAACCCTCTAAACCCTATAAACCCTATAAACCCTATAAACCCTATAAACCCTATAAACCCTATAAACCCTATAAACCCTATAAACCCTATAAACCCTAAACCCTAAACCCTTGAACCCTAAACCCTAAACCCTAAACCCTATAAACTCTATAAACCCTATAAACCCTAATGTAGGCCAACAGTGTCAAGCAGGTGGAGAGACCTGTGGATGCACGGACCCCAGCAGCGCGCCTTGGTACAAGACGGAAACGCAGGGATGCGCTTCGACGTGCCTCCGAGTCGAGGCTGCTGTTTGATTTAGGGTTTAGGGTTTAGGGTTTAGGGTTTAGGGTTTAGGGTTTAGGGTTTAGGGTTTAGGGTTTAGGGTTTAGGGTTTAGGGTTTAGGGTTTAGGGTTTAGGATTGCCATACTACCGAAACCGTCTTGCTGTTTGAAGTCATGTTTTGTGGTGTCTTGGTGGAGCTTCCTTCACGAACTGCAACCCAGGAATTGCACGAAGGAGTCTGGCCAGGGGCAGCTGTCAAGATGTGGAACGCACCCACGAGGGATGGCAAAGCTTTTGGTCCATGTACCCTGTTGTTGCCACAGCCTACTTCTCAGATGCGAAAGGCAGCCAACTGCAAGCAGTCGCGGAACAGACAGCGAACAGAATGATCCAGGGGGGTTGTCAGGCACTCGCAGAGTTTCCGGTGGATTCCGTGATGGATACTGAGTGGTGCGAGGGGCTGCCAGAGTTGTTTCGGCCGCTGGCACACCTGTGTCCTCAGAGTTGTGGGTGCAACTTGTCTTCGGGGTCTCTTCCAAGCTATTGCCCAGCAAGCTGCAACTTTTCCTCTCGTTAGCTGTCTCAAGACTCAAGACTCACATACAAGAAACGTACCCTAGTAGAACCCCAAAATGGGGGCCCTCCTTTCGAAGCAACCACCCGCGTCCGAAGATTCGCGTTGGTTTTTGCAAATTTTCAGTGGAGAGCCTGAAAGGAAGCCTTGCCTAGAAGCACCACGACATCAGAAGATGTTCTCTGTTCGGGTTTGGGCCATTTGTTCTTGCGATGGCAGGCGGCTTTCCGTCTCAGTCAATACTGTTTCAATAATGCAACAATGCAGCCATGCACAACGAAGTGCGACACCTGCCGCGAAGCGGCTGCGTGATTCCTGCTGCCTGCGAAAGAAGTGCCAAAGACCCGCTTCTACGCCCTACACCCTAAACCCTAAACCCTGAACCCTCAACCCTAAACCCTAAACCCCTTTGCAATGCTCTACGCTCCTGTCTCCAGACCTTATTGTTTTTCACTGGGGAATGACAGGATCCCCCGTACCATTTTTGGACTATATAGAGGCCTCTATGGCAAGATGTCCTTAGGGTTTAGGGTTTAGGGTTTAGGGTTTAGGGTTTAGGGTTTAGGGTTTAGGGTTTACTTGCCATTGAAGGTACCTATAACTCCCTGGTTTTGTTTCCCAAGAGCCTGTTAAAAATGCTTGAGAGCCCGAAAGGCTAAGAACCCGGAACCCTAAACCCTAAACCCTTGCGAAAGCCCTACAACCTACACCCTAGACCCGAAACCCTAAACCCTAAACCCGAAACCCTAAACCCTAAACCCTAAACCCTAAACTCCAAACTAACCATAGGAGACCTTGCAGGCTTCCAGGGCGGTGAGACGCACGCCCGAGAAGCGATGAGAGCGTCGAGGCTTGGTACCCTAAACCCTAAACCCTAAACCCTAAACCCTAAACCCTAAACCCTAAACCCTAAACCCTAAACCCTAAACCCTAAACCCTAAACTCCAAACTAACCATAGGAGACCTTGCAGGCTTCCAGGGCGGTGAGACGCACGCCCGAGAAGCGATGAGAGCGTCGAGGCTTGGTACCCTAAACCCTAAACCCTAAACCCTAAACCCTAAACCCTAAACCCTAAACCCTAAACCCTAAACCCTAAACCCTAAACCCGAAACCTCAAACCCTAAACCCTAAACCCTAAACCCTAAACCCTAAACCCTAAACCCTAAACCCTAAACCCTAAACCCTAAACCCTAACCCTAACCCTAAACCCCCTATAAACCCTAAACCCTTAATCCTAAACCCCAACTCCTCTCAGCCGCCGAAAGCCCAGAGCCGGAGGAGCCGACTCATTAAACACTGCTGTGGTCCCAGGTAGGGTTTAAGGTTTAGGGTTTGGGGTTTAGGGTTTAGGGTTTGGGGTTTAGGGTTTAGGGTTTAGGGTTTGGGGTTTGGGGTTTAGGGGCCACAGAGCTCCTAAGCCATGCGAGCTCGAGGCGCACAGGCACTGCAGAGCTCCAGGTTCTGAGGGGCATGCTCGAGGTTTAGGGCTTTAGGCTTTAGGGTTTGGGGTTTGGGGTTTAGGGTTTGGGGTTTAGGGTTTAGGGTTTGGGGTTTAGGGTTTAGGGTTTGGGGTTTGAGAAGGTTCAGGGCTTAGGATTGAAGATTGGAGAAGGGCTTGAGTTTGAGGGCCTAGGGGAGTCTCATGTTCAAAGTCAACGAACGGGATCGCGGACAGCCCTTTCCTCTGAGAGTTTAGCGTTTTCGGGCTCATGGCCCTGAGCCCCAATCCCACTGTAAGATCTACCTGAAGGTTCACGGTAGCTACATGTAGGGTTACAAGTAGCCCCAAGGACGGCTGCAACCACTTCTTACTAGCCCGTGGTACCAGTTCGCCTTTTCTTGGGGGCGGGGGGGTTCTAGGTTCCCTTGTAAAAGGTCATCAGCCCCAAACAGGGTGCCCACATTATATCCTTATTATGCCCTTTCTGTACCCTTCATTATTATACCCTGATTGTACCCGTATTTTACCCGTATTATGCCCCGATTATACCCTCACTATACCCTTGTTACACCCTTACTATACATCGATTATAATGCCTTGTTATGCCCTTACTATAGCCTCATATACCCTTACTATACCCCTCATTCTACCCTTTTTCTTCCCTTGGTATAGCACGGTTTGTGGCCACCAAGACTTACAGCACACAGTGCCCCCAGGAACCTCCAACTTGGGTGGGGAGGGGGGGGGCCCTTGGGGTTCAGGATCTTTAGAAAGGGGGGCGAAAAGGGTAAAACTCGACGTCTTTTCGGGGTTTAGGGTTGAGGGTTTAGGGTTTAGGGTTTAGGGTGTCGATGAACTCAAGTCGCCTTATAACCCCAAAACCCTGTAAATCCTATCAACCCTTTTTACAACCCTGTAAAGCCCAATAAACCCTCTGATTCCCATTTTGCCAATTCAATTTCGCCAGCACTTCGAGTCCACTGGACAGGAGAAGCACTTGCCAAAGCCAAACCCTAAACCCCAAACCCCAAACCCCAAACCCCAAACCCCAAACCCCAAACCCCAAACCCCAAACCCCAAACCCCAAACCCCAAACCCTAAACCCTAAACCCTATACCCTAACCGCTAAGGCTCACATGCCTAAAGCGCTAGAACCCCTTGAGCCCTGGAGGTTTCGATGTTCGGGGTTTGGTGAAGGGTTTAGGGTTTTATAGGACTTAAGGGATCACAGGGCTTAAGGGTTTGAGGTTTCGGTTCTGGCTTGGGCTTAGGTGTTCGGCCGAGTTGCTAATGGTTGCTTATGTTATATACACATATATACATATATACATATATGCATATATACATATATACATATATACATATATACATATTTACATATTTACATATTTACATATTTACATATTTACATATTTACATATATACATATATACATATATACATATATACATATATACATATATACATATATACATATATACATATATACATATATACATATATACATATATACATATATACATATATACATATATACATATACACACAGTAAGAGGGTTTAAGGCTCTAGATCCCCCAAGCCAGACATCCTGGCGCCCAAATTCCTGAACAGAGCCTGCTTGAAGCTTCGTAGCTGCAGGAAGGGTCATCAGCAGCCTAGAACTGCAGCCTACTTGTAGTTGCTCTGAGCATCCAGTACCTCTGAGATGAAGGCATACCATGAACCCTAGAGGGTTTAGGGTTTAGGGTTTAGGGTTTAGGGTCTAGGGTCTAGGGTTTAGGGTTTAGGGTTTGGGGTTTGGGGTTTAGGGTTTAGGGTTGCCTTTCTGAAGCCCTAAACCCTAGACTTTCTTGGTCCAATGAACCTGCCAAGTATGGCATGGCTTCTTTGCGCCGTGTCCAGTCGGCTTGTACATACTCGAAAGTGGCTGGTGGGACATGCGGGCCTCCCAGCAAATTTGCCACAACACGAAAGTTTCGGGTTTAGTTTAGGATTAGAGTATTCTGACGTGACTACGCGTTGGGTGCAGTGATTTCTTACTTGAAGTCCTGGTGATGCTTGCAAGTCTCCATCCCTTATGCGACGCACGCATGTTTAGCGAGCAATTTCAATTCGACAAGAACCGCAACACACACGGTATCGCAAAACTCATGGTCCTCAGGGCCCTGTGCAAGATTTATAGCAAGACTTATAGCACGATGTATGGCAAGATTTATAACAAGGGGGCTTTGCGAGTATGGGGCCGCGCCTGTTTATGTTGTGACACCATCGCTTTGCATATGCCGGGTCATTATCAACCTTTGCTTTATACGTGGGCAAGCGGCAAGCTCGTGAAGTAGTCAACATTCTCTTGCAACTACCATCGGTCGCACTTTGACGATGTTGCAGCGTGCACACGACACCATACACCTTTGCGAAGCATAGTGGTAGGTTCGTCCAAGCGTAGTCAGTCGATGCCCACCTGCCGTACACTGGAGCGTGGAGTTTGCATGATTAGATCTTGGTTCCTTGGTGCTGGTGACCTTTCCGGTAAGTCCCCCAAGAAGAGTCGTCTGATGTGCACAGGGCTGGGTATTAGCATGCTGCAAGTCTTCCGACGTCCCAAGCCCTAGTTTGCGCCACTGCTCTATGAAAGTCACCGTCTACTGTCAGACGCTCCACAACCCTAAGCCCGTCAAAGCAATCCTGACCCCAATGTTTGAGGCGCGGTCTTTTCTTGCTCGAGTATAGTTGAGATGGCCAAGTTGTTTTCTTGGGCGGTTTCGGGTTTAGGGTTTAGGGCGTAGGGTTTAGGGTTTAGAGGGACATGTTTTCAAAAGTGTTGCTGATTGGAGCATAGCGGTCGTCGCTACATGCCACTTCGGGCAAAGGGGCAGGTTTGTGTGCGGTAGTTTCTTGCCCCTTGCCAGCTCGGTACAGTAGAAGAGTGTACGGAATGCCAAAGCCTGTGGACAATCGCCGGGATGAGCCTGTGGACTCGGTGATCCTGCGGGCAGACAGCCGGCTCCCTGTTTGCACCCTCCAAAAATCCTGTGGTCCCGTGGATGCGTTGTGCCCTGTTGAGAAGCTGGAGAACCCAAGAAGCTTTGTATGGCACCGTAGGATGATCACCTCCGCGAAGCAGGTATGGGGTTCCTAGGGAAGGGCCTCAGCCTAAACAGCACTCCTTCAAGCACTTGGCCGGCAATCACGTCGTTTCATGACACACCTGTAGGAAACTTCTCTCCCTTTGACAGCAACGCTCCCCCACCTGTTCCACGCGGAAGAGAGGTACGTGGCGTTGGGTTTTGGGGTTTGCCTGTGGATGGGCCTTCATTGCATCCCAGCTACTACTGGAAACTTAAAGTATTGAGAGTCATCTGGGACTCACCAACACCGGACCCTGCAGCATGTAACGGGTTAGGGGTTTAGGGGTTTAGGGGTTTAGGGGTTTAGGGGTTTAGGGGTTTAGGGGTTTAGGGGTTTAGGGGTTTAGGGGTTTAGGGGTTTAGGGGTTTAGGGGTTTAGGGGTTTAGGGGTTTAGGGGTTTAGGGGTTTATATGGGGTTTAGGGGTTTATAT